GAGAAATATACTGCTTTTGCCAGGCAATCTAAACAAACTTAATTCGGTGTTCAATTCGAGTGTAAAAAATCCAGACCAATGTTTATAAACCACAATTATTAGAAACTAGGTTTCATTCATCACATAATAGATTATCAACTAGCTTATTAAATCAAAGTAACCACTGATGATTGTTTGGGTGAATTCAGTCAGGTATATAGTTAGAATATAAACTATAGGAAAATATCATATCAATGATCAAACCCAAGTTCAGCTTGCATTAAGAAGAAAACACTCGACAACTAATAATGAAATGCTTAGTATTTATGAGAAGGGACAAGAAATAACACTGAAAAATATAAATGACAGTTGAAGGTCAATATGTATTATTAAGACATAATAATAGTGATGATTACTGAATAAATTACCTTTAACCAAACAGTCAAGCTTTTCTTCAGCATCATCTTTCTTAGAAATATTATTTGAATCGTAAGAAACAGACATGCGTGAATTCGGGATTGTAGCATGTGTAACTGCTGTTAGACTGGATGAAACTTTTGATTTCTCACCTAATTGTATAGACGTTTTTTCTGATTTCAAAGATTTTAGTCGTTGGATTACAGCATTCAAATAAGCCATTCGACTAGCGGCTTTATCATGACAAGCTTGTTCATCTTCCAGAGCCTTAACAACGTTAATGATAATAATAATAATAACAAAAACAATATTGACAATTGAAAATTAAAATATATTTCTCCAAAATGTTTTAAATTATACAACTAAATATTACATTAACTCTGTGTAGTTGTTTGTTTAGATGTCATATCTATTCACCGGTGAATGTTAGACATCAAGATAATGAACAGTCAAAAGGTACGTTGGAAACTTACGTTGTATCTAGTTTAATTAAAATGTTACTGTAAAATTTTAATGAATAAAATGAAAATGTTAATATACCTAACTCATCTAACACACATAAAAATCTATCACAGTAAAATTGAGTTTTGAAAATTAATAATTCATACATTAATTAACAATAGGTTCGATAAAAATGTTGAAAGTCAATTAAATACGATTTTGTAGTTCTATGACAAATTACGATAATTCTGAAAGATACTATAACAGGATGCTAGCTATTATTGCTGCAACACTCAATTGAAATTCTAAAAAAAAACTCCCATATTTTTCAATCATATTGAAGAAAAATACACTGAAGATATATTGTACTGTATTGTTATGAATGATATACACACTGAATCTCATTGGAATATTTTACTAGGCTTTTTCACTGATTCAAAGTAATATGAATAAGAATAGTATGAACAGCTTTATTCAAATATTTTATGTTTAATAAAATATTGGAATTCTCAACATAATAACGAGATAGTTTACAGACTTCCTGATTAAAAAAAACTACGTGTCCGGGGTGAGTATTGTTAGGAATCTTCATCAGCTTTAATACAATGGAGTGCAATAGTGAGACTACACTTGGAACCAGAGCATTCGTGATAACCCTGATAAAACAATAGCTCGCTATAATTTGCACTGGATTCCACGAACAATGAAGTACATAAATATCAGAAAATAAAATACCAAAAGTAACGACTAAATATAGTGTGTATATCCGGTAATTGTTTTTAAATTGGTTATCAATATTTGGATTGACATTTACCTAAAATCTATCATTTATTTAATGGTGGATGAAAAGGAAAAGAGATAGGTTATTTGTATGATGATAATTAAACTTTATAATTTGATACGAAGATAGAATTTGATGGTAAACTAACACTAATGTTACAACGATGGGAGTAAAACTAATTAATTCAATCGGAAAGTATAGTGATGTGTAAGGGGAAGTCATAACTACCTAGTCTTACGACTCTACGGCACATACAGCTAAACTAGCTCAAGGAATGAAGATGGAAACAAGTAACCAAAATGATACATGATGATATTTAAGCCATACAACGAAAGATAATTATCAGGATATAACAGCTAAACCAAAAATATAGCTAACAAGAGTATGCTAAATAAGCAAGGTTAAACAATTTTGAAAAACCCAGAAAACACCAACAAAACTGTAATCTTGTTAACGTCAAATGATCGTATGAGGTGAATTAAACCTACACGCTTGTATGCATCAGAGGGATGGTCATATATTAAAAGACACTCTTCAATGAATTGATCTAAATAGCGAGTTCTAATTGGCATAGGAATTTTATCACTTTTGCGTAGTGGAATACGAGGTCTTGCAATATATTCATGTTGTACATTTCCTGAAGTAACAACCTAAAGTTTGAAAACAATTTAATAAAGAAATATTAATGCATAAGTTCATTGGTACACATTAGACAATAAGCAATACATGAGGTCCAATGGTCTCATAACTGAAATTCAAGTACCCGACATTACTGAGCCATATTTATCTGAACACCACGTCATACCTAGCCACATTAAGTTGTGCACACTGACCACCTAACAGTCAACATAACTCTCTTTACATTACGTTAACTATTTAAGCTGGAATTTCTGTTCTCCAAGCACAAACTATACTAAATGTCGAAGTAACAAAAATAAATTCAACATACATAAAACTGCAGTTTCATTATTGTAGCTAACAGTCAACAGCAGGTTTGGACCACTCAGTTTAGGCTATCACGTAAGACCAAACGGCCTCGCATAAAGTATGGCTTAAAGTTTAGTAGCACTCAAACCTATACCCGACCGTAGCTGCTACCTTGACGTGGTGGTCAGGCTTGCCTTTCGTGATGACCCAACCGAGCTATACTGGCTGCAACTTATGTTCCTACAGGTCGATTGGAGAACGATGAAACTAAAAGCAGCTACTCAAGGTCTGAGGGCGAAGTCGTACTGCTGACTGCAAAGGAGTGTGACAGCAGTAAGGTGTTTCCCTCGGACAACCAGCATCTGCAGCGATGCTGCCTTCTCACAAGGAAGGAAGGGTTAGAAAAGGTCGACCCTAAAAATGTCACACCTCACCTTATCTCATGGATTTCCGTCTCCGGCGGTAAGAGTGCCCAATAAGAGCTTCGAAAGAGCGGAGCTAATACTCAAAAATCCTTTCATAAAAAGGCCGTGCGTGACCGGCCTCAATCAGTTGTCCCTTGGCGAACTGTCGCCGGAATTCTCTACATCAAGTGGTGTCCGTCAGGGATGTCCACTTTCTCCATTCTTGTTTAATTTTATCATAGACATGCTCCTAGACATAACATTATCCTCGTCTGAATTTTCTGGAGTAGACCTTTTACCTGGTGGCTCGCTTATTGACTTAGAATATGCCGATGACATTGTCCTACTTGGTGAAGATGCTGACAAAATGCAGAGTCTTCTGACTACCCTAAGCAATAATGCAAGCATGTTCGGAATGCGGTTTTCCCCCTCGAAATGCAAAATGTTGCTTCAAGATTGGGTTGCATCGGCACCTGAACTAGTGATAAGGAGTGAAGTAGTCGAGCGTGTAGACCGCTTCACTTATCTGGGGAGTCTCATCAGTGCCGATGGCCTGGTGACTGAAGAAATCTCAGCCCGGATACAGAAGGCTCGAATGGCTTTTGCCAACCTGCGTCACTTATGGCGTAGGCGTGGTATCCGTTCTCTAATCAAAGGACGAGTGTACTGTGCAGCAGTTCGCTCCGTTCTCCTATATGGCTGTGAACATGGCCAGTGAGAGTAGAAGATATTCGTAGGTTACTGGTTTTCGATCATAGGTGTCTTCGAAGCATTGCTCGTATACCGTGGGACAACCGAGTAAGCAATGCTGTCGTTAGGAAACGAGTACTAGGCAAGGATGGCAGATCAATCGATGAAGTGGTGAAACTTCATCAGTTGAGGTCTTGGGACATGTGTTGCGTATGCCGAACCACCGACTGCCTCGACGAACTTTGTTTTGTAGTGTAGGAGTAGATTGGAAGAAAGTTAGGCGCGGCCAGACCAAAACATGGCAGAAATCCATGAAGTCATTGACTAGTGGACTGAGCCATGTTGGTAATTGTCGACTACCTGGTTGGGGTCCGCGAGATGATAATAATCGATGGTTAGAGACCTTGAATGACATGGCTCAAAATCGTTCGCAATGGCGCCGGCGCATTTATTCTTTGTGTTCTCTCAAACCCTAATCTTCTGGATTCTTCAACACCTCTAGTTTCGACTCTCTAAACTTTTCTCACTGAATCATACTTCTTGAATAGTATCTTCTAACCGTAACCTCTCCAATTACTTCTAATTCCCTTACTACCTCTACTACTATTGGATTTGAATTGACAATTATATCTCTGTGCTGATGTGGTATGGCAACATGAACTGATGTACTTACGTACAAAGTTTTACGTTGCATCTGACTGACTGACTGACTCAAACCTGTGCTATTAAATGGGTTAAAATTAACATAATCTGATTATCACAAAAATACATTCAAAAATAAACAATTATATGACAAATCCAAAACAGTAGAAAATCGGTTAATTAGTTTGAAATTAATATACCAAATACAGACAAAATATCTACAGATACTTTATGTGATAAATGATAACCGATATTCTATAGCTTTTCAGAAAATTTCACATGCAGTTACGTGATTTTATACCTGAAATAATTTTTATTGTAGGTAGACGCTTTCAAGGAGATTCAGCCCAAACATATTACATCCAAACACTCTTAGTTAACCTGGATAGTAAGCTGTCAGAAAAAATCATTAACCACCTGTTATAACAAGGAAAAAAGTAACTAGTGACACCTAGTCACTGTTAAAAAGCTTAACCTAACAATCTCAGTAGCGAAGACCATAAGAATTCAACTATCTGGTAAAAATTGCTCTACCTGTACATGAAAATGGATAGGTATTTGCCATAATTATAAGAGTATACTCGTATTTTAAGCAAACAGTGAAATTAAATTAATACGATCCAACTTAGCGAATATTATACTAATTAATTTACAGAAGCCGCAAACAAGCATTAGTATAAATAACATGTACGTTTTATAGACATATAAGTTAAGCTTACATTGTCACTCTTTTTATCCATACTTGTCAGCTCAGGCTTTTTCAAAACTGGGCCCATATATGGTGGAATAAGTGAAGAAGACTTTGAAACATTTTTAGGAAGACTGCTTTTGTTCATTGAGCTATCTTTATCAGTATCACCATACAAGTCTTGATAAAGAGATAAGATTTTTTGACGTTTAGACAGTGTGCAGTTTTCATCATCTTCATTGTCTTTGTTTATAGTATCCGCAGACTTTCTGTCACTAGTTTGAGTGATATTTAGTTCACTGGGAATAGCTATTTCTTTGTTTTTGAGAGGCTTCACTCTACGCTTCGATTTTCCACTATGTATAGGTAATGCATTAGTTGTTAGCTTATCCGCCCGTGAATTCTGGACATTTTCAGTCACAGATACAGTTTTCAAATCACTAGGATTATCTTCAACAATAACTGAAGCAGGAGCATCCTCATCCGAGTCTACATTAATGTCAATAACTTCTTTGGAAAATGAAGGGGCGGATGATTCTGTAACCACAGGAGAAGGTTGATATAGAAATGGAGAAGGCGATGCCGTAGATTTTATTTTTACTACAGGAGAATATGATGGTTGATCTTGTGGGATAAATCCCTTAGAAAATCCATAGCCAGACAACGAATTAGGTGCATATTTTTCCAATTCACTTATTGGAGTTGGTTGATAAACAGGAATGGATTCATCATAAGCAATTTGCGAACAATCGTCATTTTTCTGTGAATTTTCATTCCTTTTTTCCAAAATACTGATAGGGGTTGGTTTATATACAGGATCAACAGAGGGCTTACACGATTTCTAACACATTATAGTTTAAATAACAAATTAATTACCGTAATAGGTAGAACGTTTCCCTCAGAAACATCTGTAAGGAGGAGAAAAAGATATAAACCTGATTACTACTATGAGGCAGCAATCAGAAAATTAATGGACGAATCATAAACTTTATCCGCTTTCCCCTGGTTCGAATCGTATTTCTCTCGGTAAATTTCACTAGATATCAGTTCACATTATTTGTTCCCTTAATTATTTCATCAGAACAAATATGCTTAACAAGATATGGCAGACACTTCGCTCTGCTCTTTTGTACCAGAGAGTTACAGAATATTAAAATGAGTCTATATGATATTGAAGTTGGTTTTATATCAACACTTCTTTAAAGTGTTCTACCTGATCTACTTATCAACAGAGCATTTAAACACGAGATGCTATCAGCAAATTTTTTATATAAAATGAACGTGATAGACTAGTTATCAGATTCTAATCTATATTTGACTATTAGACTGTCAAAATGTCGTTGATATGAACACAATAAACTCCAAGCTGATTAATTTCCTAGTTAGGTAAACCGTTCAGATAGAAAATCCTGCCATAGACAGATAGGCATAAGGAACGTAGAGCCCGGCACAGATGTGCATTAGCCCAAGTCCCCATACTTATCATAAGCAACTTAATACAACCAAATGAACATAACAAAAGAGATCAAGATGATTTTTTGGCAATGATGGGAAAGACTGAATATTCGGGATATGGTCTAAAAAACAGAGTGTAAAAGTGTAAACGTAGAATACTGGGATTTAAAATCGAGAATGCATCTGAACCATTGAGAATGACTCAAAGTTATATCACAAAACGTCTAACCACTGATGATAGTTATTGCTCAGAATACAATCAGATTGTTAGCATTTATCAAAATGACTCAGACCAACAGTCAATAACTTCATACCTAGAGGCTACGTTTTAGTTTGGCCTCCCTTAGTCTTCTTCCAACCTATTCCTACACCAGACAACATCCTGTACCGATGGAAGTGGTGGATTGGCGTACGTAATATACTTTCCAACTACTTCAACTAATGAAGATTTACAGCCACATTAGATTTACCACCGATTTCAAGTACCCATTGCTTAACCTTAACATTGCTTACTTGGTCCACAAAAAACGAGCAATTCTGTGAACATATTTAGAATTAAAGACTGGCCTACGCATAATTCCTACTTTTATGAATCACGCCTGTCATGAGGTGGAAAAGAGTATAACTGCTGCTCAGTATAAGCCATTTAGTTGGATGACGGGAATCACATGTCATGAATGACGCAAGTTGGTAAACGCTAACTGGGTTTTCCGAATCTGTTTTAAGATTTCGTTAAGAATTAAGCCACCAGGACTGAAGAAAGTGAAGCATGCCTACTGGTGATTCTTGAGTAATACCCATTTGTTTCTGAATTTCTCTCAACAACTTCATCAGTGCATAAAAAATACATTGTTCCTGGTTAAGGAACATTAGAGAATAAAGCAGTGATAATAGGTAGTAAAGCTGTATTCTAAAAATCATACATACCTTTTTAAGCCGCTATGTTCTCTAAGACTAAAACATCAAAAGTCGTAAAATGGGATATCGAGGAAGTATAAACTATGGTTTTAGGAGATGATGAGGTTAATTTAATTAGTTTCGAACAATTTATAACCTTGAGCTAACTTGCGAACTTTCATACGCATTTAAATTTTGTTAACAATTTGTTCATAATCTCACTTTCGAGACTAACGGTTCTATCTAACCTTCAACGAATACAGTTACACGCAATTCATAAATCCCTAACGTACTTCCCTATACATCAGTTCCCTGTCTGATCATATAACTTGCTTGCCTTATTAAAAACTTGTAACTTGTATCAAATTGTTCAATCAGACAAATACCTTCAACAAACACAAAATGATATACTTCCGAAACATAAATAACCAAGCAAATCACATGATAGCGGAGTGTACTAACCACTTCTTCAGCTTTAACGTTTTTCCTCAGGTAATTGTAACTAATAAACATCTTAATTATTTAAGACTCATTGTTAATGAAACACAGGCTTTAACTTATGTATTGCGAAATATCAATCAGATTAGCTTTATTCGATAATTTTGAAGACGTTTGATGGATTCGTGTGTTTAATCATTTTATGTTTTAAGAGATTACTGATACTCGTTAGAGGTAAAGAAAAGATAGGCGACATATTTTAGGATACTTTCATGAATATAATTCGATAACTACATGTTTCACACGTCGCCCCAAATGTTCTAACTTTTCCCAGTACTTCTCGACACTGATTGTTAGAAGTGAAGATATGAATGGTTTACGAAATGAAAACAAAGGGTAGTTATTTTGAGTTAGTAGTCGTTGGTTTATTACAACGGAATGAATGGATTTCTTAAAATCACGCAACCCTACAATGAGAGAGCGTTTTTAGATTTACCTGCCAGATGAATAATGTGAGAAATAGCGATAATACCGCATTGTACAAAGTAAATCAAGTGGGATGGGATACAAAACCCTAATCTGTTGGTTGACAGCTACGGGTGCTCAACTTTGAACAACTTCTATTATCAACATTAACAGTAATATGTCTAAGGATCAAGTGAGATTTATCTAGGCCATGATTATTTTATTTCATACACGATAACTTCAGTCGAAGGTCATTTATAAAAGACATGTGCCCAACTTTATAACTACCTAGTTTGAAAGCTGTACGGGTTAATCTAGACTCGACAGCACAAAAAGGCCCAAGCAGGACTTCTCGAATTAGATATAGTATGTGTGGTTTCAATGTTTCGCAGTAAATGATAGCAAACTATTCAGTTATAAACAAACAGACAAAACTACATCGAATTAGTCACGAGGTAGTTGAGAGAAATGAGTACTGACCAACTGGATATACACTGAGAATGGAATATCCAATATCCAATATCGATTATTTCTAGGAATATCCTTTCCCACTGGCCAAGGAATTGCTGTGATGTGCAAAGTCTACTATTTACATACAATTTTTAACCACATTTTACACAAAATGAATTTTAAAAAAAACACAATTTGAACTGCAATAATCCCTGAAAAGATTACTGACTTTGCCCATCAATATGATTGAAATGACAATATGGTCTATCGCAGTTTCCCTCGCTAAACGCCGGGCACAGCAACTCTTGAAAGAAACCTGAGGTTGGGAACATGTATGTCGAACATGAAGCACCGTAAAAACAAGTAGCCCAGCTATTTGAAGTTTCGCCTTGGCCAACATCCAATATCTTTTTCAGAAGCTAGTGTACACCAGTTGATTTCTTTGTGCTCGATTCTTGTCCTTTCGGTACGGTTCCAGGTGTTCGGTAATATCCAATGGATGGATGTCTAGCCACTCGACTGTCTAATTCTTGTCAATTGGCAGTTAGTTGTGAGTTTGGATGTCTCGGCATTTGAATGAAAAAGTTTATTTCAGGGCAAAGGGGTTTCCGGATACCAGCAGCAATCACATGATCAGACCGCAGATCAGTCAGCTGCAATGTGGAGAATAATAAGGACAAAATTTTAATGCTAATATGAATAAGATTTCAGAACTAGGTAAGTCAATAGATAATTTAGTTTATTAATTGATAGTGAAGATTGTGAGAGAGGACCATAGAGTAAGCAAGGGATAGGAGACAGAGATAATAGGCGAGAAAGATTAATTGAGTGATCTGAGGAGACGGCAATGATAACAACTAACAGGTCTCAAGGTATCTATCAGGCACAGCTTGTCCAAGATGGAGATGATAATCTGTATGTGAGTACGTGATCATCAAGTCTCTTCATAAAGCTGTCTACTGAGGGGGCTGTGGTCAGCTCGCCTGGAGAGCATTCCAGGTTGCAACGACTCTGAATGAGCAAAAGTGTGCACGAATCTGAGTATTCGCTCTTTGATGTGTAATCTTTCGAGGATTGCCTCGAGGGGAGTGGTGATGATGCATCGGTAAAATGCTCACATTGGGATGGTTTAATATGTTGCACGCCATCGTAAGGTTTATTTTCCAACCCTATCACCCATTTGGATGCTCATCTCTGCACTCGATGCAAGAGATTTATGTCTCCTTTAACCAGAGGGGGTGCGATGACATTGTGAACCTTCAGGTGTTGTTGCGCATACATCTTAAATAGTGCCAAAAATAATTGCGGGGTGATAGCACCAAGTTGTCTTCGCACATAGTGAAGATTCGCATGTGCCTTGGCTGCGTCCCGTACATAGGTCTTCGGCAAATATCCAGACTAATATATAATGATTGGAATAAGGTGCCGAAGAAGAGAAATAAAGAGAACGAGACGAGAAGCAAATTAGAAAATATTCTTGTTCAAAGCCGAATTGCGACTCGACAGATACATTTTTAAACTAGAACACTAACTGTACACATGCACTTATGTAGGTTAATGAAGATGAGTTACTAAAGAGATAACGAATATGCAATTAATCGTATGAATAGCGGAAATTCAGAAGAACCAAATTGCTATCACTTATGTCGCGTACAGAATATAATAATGAAGCACGGTGACCTGATGCTTTTGTGATATTTTATTTGTCCTTTTTCTTTTTGACTCTGAAATTCATTAAGTCATGTGTGAGCTCGTTTTCAGTAAAATTATCTAGATCTGTTTGTAATAAGATTTCTTGGTAGGAAGTGAAACCAGTGAAGGTTGCGAACATAAGTCGTAGACGAGGTTAACAAGGGAAAGTAACATCAAGACCACTAATTTGTTACATCTTGCTATGTCGTAAGGAGCCGTAGGCAAAAAATTGTTCTGCCCCATATAGATTGTTATATGCACACCTGTCTCTACCTTGCATTGCTTCGCAGTCATTAGCAGTTTTTTCGTAACGCAACCGGTGTAACACACGAATCGGCACCATCACGCTAATGCTTTTAGGAATTCGCATTGCAATTAAATTCGGATTTGAATGTACTGTAACCGAATTCACTGACAGCACGATACTTTGACTTCTAGGAAAAATCGAAAGTCAAGACTCATTACGTTGACTTCTCGCAGGAAACTTTAAAGCTCTCCATCAAGAACCTAAGTACTGTACCATCGATAAGTAACGTATTAGGAATAAAATCAGCATCAACCATCTGGGAACTGCCTAATGAGAAAACCCCTTCACGGTCTGTTTCATTGAAGCCTAAACACCCTCCCAAAACTACGATGCAATCCTGACAAATAACTGCTACTACGAAACTCCATTGGTTTCAGAAAAACGATGTAAAACAATGCACGCCGAGGAATTGTGGGGTTCCCAGAGTACATAAGTGATTGATTCATGTTTGACATTTTATCAGCTTTCTCGTTCGGAACTCATTTGTGTGTTTAAACGGCGGAATAAACAAGACCAAAACAAGACCAATTTGGTTTTAAACCTTATCTGTTTCTAAACACAAAAACAATTAGATTAATACAATAAATAAGGAAATTACAGTTATCAAGTAAGACGAGCAAACATACCGCCCAATACAACGTGTCTTGTGGAAATGAATGAAGTTATGCTTCACATCAATATAATAAGTTAATAATGTCCTTCAGCTAGTAGGTCGTTTACAATAAAGAAAATTCACAGACACGTCAGACCAGATCACGTGGTGGGCGCTTGAACCACAATCTGCTTAGTTTGTTATGGTATAACCACAATTAATTATGGAAATAACTAACGGTTTCATCAGACATATGGCATCAGAGCTTGGAAATGAAAACCACCGTGAAGATTTAAATAAATACAATAGGGATACGACTCTACTGGTTATAGGTAACTATCACGATAGTTGATGGTTCCTGGGAAAAGTCATTTATTTTGCGTCTACGTTCGGACTATTGGGGCTCACTTCTTAGTGGACACAGGAATAGAATTAAGCGTTATGCCTCCAATCAGCGATGAGAGAAGAATTATTAATACTGAGCTTATGTTAAAAACAGCGAACAAATCTCATATAAAAAGATAAGGGAAGCAAAAGTTAACCTTGAATTTCTGTCGGGATACTTCATCTCACTTCGAGTTCGTCATAGCTGATGTATCCGCGCCTATAATCGGTATGGATTTCCGACAGAATTTAGGCCTACTACTACATTACGGAAGAAACCGGCTCTTGAACGGATACTGTACAGTGGTGATAAAAAGAGTTATTCTTAAAGGATGGCCTAAAAACTGCGCTCTTCTTATTCTTTATGAATGGTTGTCAAGAATATGACACAGGGAACAACACAGGGAGTGACTGTGATCCAATATCCTTGAGAGCGAAACAAAATTGCTGGTATGGCTTGATGATCTGACAAGCTTACAACTATTTGGTAATCAAGAATTAGTGATTTGAGCAGTATTCATCATAATGTAGTAAGAATTTCTGCATTGTGACTTTAAGGAGTATGCCAATTGTAGTCTGTGAGTAGAAGTCTCACTCTGGCTAAGAGACTCGATTCCCAGGAAAGTACGAAAACAAACGATTTCATCAAGCGCAGTTGTCACCGTCGCCCTTACACATATGGACGTCAACCTGTGTTACAGTATGAATACTTCTTACAACCTGTACATAGTATGTGACGAAGTGGTACCAGTCTTTGATAATAAACTGAACCAAATTCAAAGTGTACGTAACTGAAATGTCAGGGTAATCAGCAGACAATAATTTGATTGCCAGGAAGTTATTGGTCTGGAACGAAAGAAACGCAGATGGTTTAGGGAGGGTCGTATTGCTGGACATGCCACTCAATAATTAAGGCAGAAGACTATGTTTAAGGTGAAATATATTTACAATAAAACTCACAATAACTGGCAAAAAAATAGCGCGAAACGTTTCACGGTTAAATCGATAAACTCTCGAACACTTTAATAATAATATTATGCGGTTCCTTAAACGAACGTACGAAATGCACTTTATTTCTGTAAATACCTAGGGTAGTGATATAAACCCAAAATAAAAATATGTGCTGAATAACAAAATGATGATAATCGCTAGATAAGTAGTGTTTCTTGAAAACTCCCTTTAAAAGAACCAGCACAAATTTTGTGGCCGGACATAACAAAGGGTTTTTAAATTTTTGCATTTTTCTAAATTTAATGTTTGTCATCATTAGTATTATTTTCACATTTTGTATTTGTTTGTATATTCTTATATTCTTCGTTATCTACTTTTCATTATCTAATGGTTTTAATTTTTTGTAGTGATTATTCGAAGTCCATTTATCTACTTTTGACTCAAATTGCCTTGATCGGTATATCATTTTCATATGCACATTCATATATATTAGTGTAAAGCCTGATGACGATCTAACCGAAAACAATAATGTTTGCTTATGTGCGTTGTTCAAATTCAATTCACTCTATCAACAAATATTCTTTTTCCGGGTTGGTACCGACGGTGTTAGGAGAAATAGGATTCAGAGAGTATTAAAGAAGAACTATCCAGGCTATTAGTCCCATATTGTGGATTACAGCCTAAAATATTAATCAACACCCAATTTGTTCCCCAGATAACCAACAAAACACAAAATTGAATGCGTAAGTGTGTACTTACCAGTCAACGAATTGTTATGTTTGTTCATGGTTGATACAAATAAATATTAGATGTTGAATGAACGTTTCAAAGAGGGTAAAGAACTGGTCTTCTGCTGAGGTTATTCGAAGAACTCAGTTTATATGTCAGCTTATAACAAATTGTCTTTACTTAAAATATGCCTTATGGAGCATGCTGTATTGTTACAAAGAACGTTAAAGACGTTCTATGCTATATTTTCTCGAGTCAAAATTCATCTAGGGAACCAGGACTCAATTTCATTATATTAGTACTGAAATGGTAAACTATATAGCCAACTTCCCTACTGTACTCTTGTACAGTTTAAAAGGTTCTTAATGATAGGCTACAGGTTATGGAACTTCATCAAACCATCCACATTACGGTTAGCAGTCTCGAATGGTTTTCTTAGTATAACGGAAGGATGAAGCTTAAAACTACGTATCAGCCATAAAAATAATAGCAACACAGAATCTAGTTCTTTTCTATAACCGCTTCAATACGACATATTGAATATATTGGCTAGTTCAATATAGTTCTTAACATAATATTTAGCACCTGGTTACTATCAAAGTGAAGTGCGCTCAAGTGACTGACATAAGACTGCTCTCATCATACCATCGCGTTTATATGAGGTCGGGTTACCAGTGCTCACTACACTTCCTAGCTGTTATTCCATACGACACCGATTAGGTAAGTTTTAATCGTTTTGGTTTATCTAGACGATATTATAATGTATAAGTAACGTAAAAGCAAATTCAGTTTCTCTCTCATGTCGTTGATGACAGGATGTACTCCTATGGAGATTTAGGTAGCACATTACACCTTTCAACTCCAAAAAACTCTTTCCTAATATACAGAGGGAAGTCCTTAAGAACGAATAGCTAACAGACAGTGATATCAAAACTTGATAATTGTACTTGGCGTAAACTTGAAAGATGTTTCAATGTAATGCGTTACACTCGCCTTTCATCTTTAGTTTGAAGCGATTTTCTTCGAATTTGATCATATTGTTCGCCGCTTTGCAGTCATAATTTTGTTTTGTTCCGTTTAAAATCAAAACTAAAACGAAACTATTACTTTTGCGATTATATTTAGACGTTAAAGTGGTCAACTTACTTCGATTTTAGGTTGAAATGAAGCAAAATGAATTATGAACTTATACCGAAAAAATAGTGAATAATCCATGCAGTGCAAAAAGATTTTTATTAGTACGAAACGTTTGTCTTTATAACCACGCGTTATATATATTGATGGTGTATCTAGGGTGCTGTGTCAAGACTCGAGGAAATAAAGGTTATACTTCACGTTGACGTATCCGTCTAATATTTTAAATTGACTTCGATCCAAAATTTCCTCGAGATGCCCCTATGGGCTTATCTATGTTCTGTCCTGTATACTGGAGGAAGAAGTCTTCCTTATATATTTCCATTTATCTCTATATTGCAATAAGAATTCATTTCCGCAGACTCTATGACCCTGCCATCATTCATTCCATCTACACAATCGATTATTTTAGTTAGCACCTACTTGATCATGGCTTTTTTTTAATCTTATAACTTAAATATGACCGAGCGATGGCGATTTTAATGAGATGTAAATTTTGTTTACTTATGCATTCTGTCATTAAATCACGTTTAAACAATTTAGATAGTAAATTCAAATGTAAATCGTTTTTAGGAAATGTGTATTTCAGGAATGCTAATTTTGAACGGTAGACAAGCATTGAGACGCAATGTATGTAGCTTCGAGGTTAGGTAATTCTATAGCTTGGTTTTTCTATGCATGAAAGAAATACAAGCAAGGATATTGACACATGATTACCACATACCTGCAATTAGGGTCACATCTATGAATAACAATAATTAAAAAGATTAGAATCATTCATCAGTTCGAAAGTAAGAACAAACTGTAGAGATTATAAGTCTGTCACAGTATCTTTATTTACTGTCTGGAATTTCGTGCAGAATTCTGTTAACGCAAACCACTATGATCCCATATTGTCCTACTTTTCATTGACCAACAATATGATGTATGAATTTGCACTCAGAAAGTACTGAAATAATTTTTTTCTGTTTTAATTCAAAACCGTATTATATAGAAGGAGAACGTAACAGAATCATGTATTGATTAGTTATTAGGAGTTTCAGTTACTTTGAATAAGTACATATTTTAAACAGCTATTTCAATTTAACGTTTTCAGAATGTCACAACTACGTTCGTCAACATCTTCAATACCTCCTGATCTTCGCGTTGATTTAAGTGAAATAGTAGAAGATCTATTAGCCTTTCACTACGATGATATCAGCTCTTCAGTTTCTGATAATTCTGGTTTATCTGGTCCTAATAGTTCTACTACTACTAGTGGATCAAATACTACTGATCTAGTTCGCCGAATCAATCGCATGCGTTCGAATATACAACGTGCTCAAGAAGTAGCCCGCAAACTTAGTACTTGTGATCTGGATGTCCCTGCTCAAGAAAAACTACTACTAGCTGTTGCAAATTCTTGTGTTACCAAACGCCACTTGGCATGTTTATTGAAAACAGAGCTTGATAAACTATCTACCAAGGACTCTGATTGTTATTTTGAATAGTCCTTTTTCTCCAATCTTCCACTTCTTGCTCGTATTTACTGTATAATCCCTTTCCAAATAACAACTTAATAAAAGATTTTTGAGGTGTCTAATCCATGTTTGGCACAAAATGTTTTATTCACTAAATCGTTTGTTGTAATATCTTATTAATTGATTGTTGTATATTGTACTATCATTGATACGTGTTGTTATTATTATTGCAAAGTTCAGGGTAAGTGTAAACTCGTTTAAAAGTATGCTCCTATATGTATATTTTAAACCTAAAACTACCTAAAATGGGAAAACTTACCAAGTTTGTGACTGATACGTAAATCAAATTAGGATGAACATTATGTCTACCGTTAGTAGGTTTTGTGAACGAAAGTATATGGTTTTTTCTCTGCTAAAATATATCAGTGGCGATATGGTACTTTCAGATGATGTTGTTTAAATCAGATGAACTTGTCACCTACTGTTTACAATGAAATCAATTGGCAAACAAAACAAATTGCATTGTGTTCCCACTAATCCCACTAATTAATGTATTAGAGTGATTTGAAGCATCAGTTCTAAAATAAATCCATGAAGTCACTGACTGTAATTTCAAGAAGTAAGCATGGATTTTTTTGTAATCGATATATTCGATAGTTAGTGACTCAGAATTATGTTATGTTGGATAAATAAGCGTGTTCTTAGATCTCTGTAACCTAACTTATTGAGTAACCATTACTTGTTTGCACAACTTCCTAGCTCATGCTATAGTGCTCATTTAGGATCTGGTCTTTTCTTCACTAATTTTTATTAACTATAGAACTACACGTACAGATTTATGATCATATGCCTTCAAAGTCAAGATCATCTGACTAAACCTAGGCGAAACTAGCATCAGTCTTTCAAAGTTTAAGCATCTCGTTATTTCATAATTCCTTTACATCGTCGTAGCTTGCTTTCTTGGTATATTTTTTCCTATTGACCTTCCCAATAGGTGATAAAGAATTAAATCTATAAACATTTGTACCAGGTTTTATGCTATTTCTGTTTTTACTTCCTTTTAGTGGGAAATTTATGTTAGACACCACTATGTGACTGCAGATTAAGATAATACTACATATACCTATCATTCTATCAGCAAAATTTATTTAGTCTCATTCAGTTGTCTCCAAAAATCTGTGATTAAGTTTTTAGGTCTGTGAGTCTTGTTTCCTTTCTTGATTCTCAAGAATGAAATATCCTTCCCCAATGTAAATGACAGGAAAGTGTTAATCTCTAAAAAACTTGCGAAAGAATTTGCTTCTGGGCTGCTGATCTTTTATTGGAAGGATACGAGCTAACTTAATGCATTTAATAAGTAATGAATAATAATTTTTAAGCTTTCTAAAAAATTGGAATAATTTGCCAGATACTGTAATATGTGTCAACCAACTACTCAAGATTTCCGACGAATGTGTATGAATTCTTCAGATCAACATTTAAGTAAACATGTATCTGTGATAGCCTTTCTAAAATAATTATTATTTAGTTTTTAGAGGCTTTGTATAAATGAGCCACTTTTTAATAGTCCATAATATTTTAGAAAAGAGCAAAGTTCAATCAAGTAAGAATTCACTAACCTGATAATGTTTAATCGACCTCATTGATTTTAATTTTCATAACAGTTTACTCAAAAATTATCTCTTAAATTTGTTTTCCATAATTTCTAAATGATACGTTGTTTTATATAGCTCAATAAATTCAGAGCTACTTGTTTTTTCTCACTTATTTGTTTGTAATAATTTTTGTCATTACATGAGTTGCTTTATTCATATAAGTTCAATTATTTGTACAAATGGTTGCTACTGTCATTCTTACAATCAATAAATGCTACTTTGATCATGAACCTTGCATTTTACATTTTCATTGACGAATTTTCGACAGAAAGTAGAATAACATATTAGGAGTTGTTTCCCCATTATCTTAGTTATTTCATTAAATTGTATGTTCAGCGATTCGTTTTTCATCAGTAAAAGTACATCTCAGGGTATAAACAATTGTTTTTTTTTCTTTGTAATAGCTTTCCATAGTTTATGCCTAAACTCAATTTCTACAGATTGATTGTCGTAAGAGAAATCCAGTCGGTATTACAAATCAGGAATTAGTTTGATTATTCTGTAGTTTTAATTAGCTATCTCGATTAAATACTTTTCCGTATATTACTTTTTGTGAATTAAAAGATATAACAAGAAGTCAATTAAATCAACCTCACATAATGTGTTATAATAGATTTTTTGAAGGTATAAAGCTGTTTATTTACACTTTGTATTTACTTGTCTATTCCTTTCCCCATTTTAATCAATTTAATCAATATTTTATCTATCTTACATAGATCGCTATCGTTTCAACTCATAACGTGTACACTAAACTGTGATGGACCTATCCACAAATCCATTCAATTTAATAAATAAACTGATTCGTTTATATTGTATCGAGGACAGGATTTTCAACGGGTTCTTGTACACTGTAGACCCAAAGACAGGAAACTACGTGTTATTTTCACAAATAAATGGAAAATACCAACCAACGATTGTCCGCTATGAAGCAGTCGAGAGGTTAGAAGTAAGCAGTGACTTTCTAAGTGTCATGATACCCCTTTATCGTGTATTTTCCCATGTAAATCATAGCAGTTGACTCTGTCCTACTGAACGGGTCTGAAGCATGACCATCAAGGCTAAAGTATATTTGTAGATCACCAGTATTTGACTACATGTGTTTCGTGACCTAATGCAAGTCGCTTTTTCAAAGTAAATAAATAAATAACCGAAACAAATTAACACAGTAGTAAAATTTCTACTCATTGGTATATTACCAAGTATTGTAATTATTTTATTATCATTGCTTGTGTATTTCGGGACCACTGACGGCGTGAAACTGAAGTTAGATAAGGAGCACTAAGTGATGGTAAATTGGTTGATGCGCTTGTAAATCTTCATTAGTTGAAGTAGTTGGAAAGCATATTACGTACGCCAATCCACCACTTCCATCGGTACAGGATGTTGTCTGGTGTAGGAATAGGTTGGAAGAAGACTAAGGGAGGCCAAACTTAAACGTAGCCTCTAGGTATGAAGTTATTGACTGTTGGTCTGAGTCATTTTGATAAATGCTAACAATCTGATTGTATTCTGAGCAATAACTATCATCAGTAGTTAGACGTTTTGTGATATAACTTTGAGTCATTCTCAATGGTTCAGATGCATTCTCGATTTTAAATCCCAGTATTCTACGTTTACACTTTTACACTCTGTTTTTTAGACCATATCCCGAATATTCAGTCTTTCCCATCATTGCCAAAAAATCATCTTGATCTCTTTTGTTATGTTCATTTGGTTGTATTAAGTTGCTTATGCTAAGTATGGGGACTTGGGCTAATGCACATCTGTGCCGGGCTGTATGTTCATGACGAGTGACTTAATGTATTGGTTAATCTCATTTTTTTCATAAAATCTCATTTATTTGCTAAAGATGACATGTTCGTTAGTTTGATCACCTTTAAATTTCAGATCTACATGACGACACTTCCACGATATCGCATTTTTGTTATCCTCGCTCCGATTTCCCCTTATGTCTGTATCATAAAATTGCTTGGCTAGCTGTTTCCGAGTAGCGTTATCGTAAAGAAATCAAACTTGCTTCATTCTGAATCTGGATTTCAGATATTCAAGGAATTTAGGATCTTAGTCTGGTTAAATTCTCTTCATAAATGATAAATATATTGTCTTCATATTTTGCATGCAAGTTAAAGCCATTGAACTAAGTTATTAGTTTTCAAGTTTAGATATGAAAATACTCTCTTGAATAGTATTAATCCTATGTTATCTATTCACGGTTCGATAAAAGATATTGCGCTCCCATGATATGTATTTTTCGAAATGAACATATGAGACTCAAGTGTTTGTATAAAAGCTAGTTTGGAAAATACTTTTCAAGATTTCTCTAAACTAATACTTTTTCGTCAATGAGTTAATTTTATTGTAGGACATGTTCTTGTGACGTATCCCCCCACTGCCCTGGTACGGCTAAGAGTGGGGAAAGTCCGCTTTCTCTCGGAACCCTCTCATATGGTCGTGCTGATTATAGCCATTGCCATGAAAGTCCTACTCATTGATTTCTTGTGGTAGGGTTCTGCATGCAGAATTAGTAAGATAAAAAGAGGCGCTGTCAACCGGTTTGGCGGGTCTGCAGGGTCCATTTGGAGTTGGAAAACCCTGGTGCATGTGGGCTCTGGGAACCTGACGAAACGAATGACGTATAGACTTATTATTCCTCACCAGCTCAGACAGTATCCCAGCCCTCTCTAAAATTCAATAATTTTTCTGGCACATAAATACTTAGGTGCACCTTTGTACTAATATGATATGACTTAATTGTAACTGTCGGTTGGTTTATTGTTATATTTCACTTTTTACCCTCTTACGATTTTGGTTGTTCGTTGTAGGACACTTTGTTATTGGTTGTTTCTTTTATTTCAATGTTGATGTTACCTTATCATGTAGCCAGTTCTCTACTTACTGTAGACCGTCATTTGCATCACAAAAAACCCGTAAGTATACAGTCTTCATACAAGTAGTTCGAAATTATTCGGAATCACAGAGGAAATTCGCGTGTAAAATCTTTCACTTGTCTTTTTTTTGAGGAGAAATTTGTTATCGTATACAAATTTTCTAGTAGCTGGTTATAATTTTACACATGAAACAAACTAATATGCCTTTATTATTATTATTTAATGATTCAGCATTCATTTTACTGTCTGAAGTGCGAAGTTGCAAGATAGTAGAATATAAGAAATCAACTTAAGAGACGACTGATTGACTCTTAGTCTAAATCGTGTCTGGGAATACAAACAATGCCAATACCATTTATAAGATGCTAGAAAGTAATGCTTGAAGAAGGCCTCCGGCAATGTAGTTAGGTCACACATTTCTGGAAACATTCGTTGTTTTTATGTATGTTGTAGTGCGTTTACTTTTATGTTGAGCCCCCTATTCTTGTCCTAGCTTTCCAACAAACTCATTCACCTTTTCTGTCAAGTCGTTATTCACATACCTTTTGACCTTGTCTCTTATTCGCTCATAATTTGGCCGTTTTATTTGTATGTGTATGTATTGCTTACTTCGTTTATTACATGTCTAGCTTATTTTGTCTGGCTATAAATGCTTAGTCGTGCCTCATTACATTGAGTAGGCTTGCCGGCCTTCGCTTTACTGTCAAGTTATGTAGTCTCCTGTCTATCCCCACTAACACTTTAAAATAAACTCATCGAACTGAATATGTATTTGACTTCTAATTACCACCGTGGATTGGTAATTCAAAATATTACATACTGTCAATATCCTTCTAGTTTTTCACCTTTTTGAAAACTACTAGCGGGTTTATATGCAACTTGTAATGATTTAATTGATTGTTTGATAAGTTTCGGAAATTTCACCCCTAATAACTCGGACTAATCTTTAGGTTTATGTGATTCCTTTCAACCTGTATCAATGAGGGATGATTTTTTAGGAACTTTTCTTCATTTTCTTGTCTCTGATGACTGAATTTGGTTTAAATATGTAACATTTTAATAATTGGTTGTAAGTGTTCTTGAAACTTATTATAGACGACTATTTATCGACTGTTAGTTTATTCAGTGATTTATCCGAAATGGTAATTTTTGCTTTTCTTAACTGATTGTTAGAGATCCTTCATATTTCCTCGGCCTTCCCCTTATCAATAAATTCCTTAAATAATTCAATAATCATTTTCAATTATTATTCTCTTTTATTCAGACGCTTGATGGTGAAATGCCTCCAGAGCTACAAAACATTTTTGATTCTTTCACATCAGTTGATGAATTCTCATTGAATATTGATGAAGAAATTCGAACGAAATCTCCAGTAGTGAATACATTAACGTCAGATGAATTAAATTGTCGACGTGAAAAAATCATTAAATTGTTTTCTTCAAATCATCTAAATGAAGTAGTTTTAAATGATCGAAATGAATTAGTTATTCATAATGTGGTATTTATTAAACCACCATACAATGTTGATTGTTGTTCTGGTAAAAATATGATTATATTGGATCGTGTAAAAAACTTAATCAGTAAATTAGAAGAGGATGAAAATAATGAAGTTGGATGATTTACAAAAACCCGCTAAGATTAATCAGTTATGGGTTATTTATATCGTCTCTAAACAAATGCTTGACTCTTACAGAATTTTCTACCGTATTTGTCCAATACGTCATAGCATTACTTCTCAGATTCTATAAATGCTTGTTTCAATTTCTCCGTATTTTTGTGTAAATGATTGTACAGTTCCAGATCGTTTTTTGTCCTTAGTTTCATTTGCAATAACCATATTAAATTTCAACTTCATTTTTTATATGCAGATGTGTTTACTGAATTTCATAGGTTTTACACAAGTCGATTGTTGTTAAGTAACATAGATCTGACCACATGTGTAACCGTACAGTTTGCTCTGCCGTATCACAATCGTGAGATGGAATCATCAAGACAAGTTTCAGAGCAACGGAACTAGCCCAAGTATTCCATTAGTGAGAGAAACAGTTAGACGTAGACAAAGTGAGTAACAAAATGTCAGTTCATTGGGTTGAAATTATGCGATGGTTTTAAAAAGATGGAGGTAATTCAGCAAAGAAGTCCTCTAATGGTTCCACTCATTTGGGCTGTTCAGTTGTGTGCATTGTTCAATACCCAATATCTTTTTCACTAGCCAGTATAAACCAATTGGTCTCTGCGCTCGATTATTGTTCTTTCGGTACGGTTCCAGGTGTTCGATAGTGTCCAATTAAAGTAGTCTTTTGAAGGACTAAGTTAAGTTTCAAAGAAAGTTACTTAGTAGTCAGTATTTGAAAAGTGATAGAATGAAATGTGGAGAGCACAGCTGTTCACTTGGCGAGTATGAGTGGTGTGGGAGGCGTAAATAATCGGAAAGAAGTAATATAATCACTGAACGTCGGGACTCAAATACTGACTAATGATCAGGGACGTGGGTTCCGGCATCAGAAGCTTTGCAGCCGAGTACCTAAATAGTAAGATTTACATAAACCCCTCGTACAGCATAGGCCGCTGATCAGGATTTCCCACCCTGGGATCTTTTAGTGGCTTATTATCTGACTCCTTCCTGTACGGACGATAGAATATTCTGTAAAACCATTTCCGCATATTACAATTAGGCTAACTCCGTTTAAGAGACGACGGTAATAGGAAGCCAAATACGGATAGATTCGGGTGAGTTAATGTCAGGTAGTTGTTACACAAACAGGCATGAGGATAAGAAACCAAATGGGGAAGCTAATTCCATATGATGAGGCAAAAATAAGCTAGACATGAGATGTAGAAAGAGGGCAGTGCACATACACATTCTAGTGAACGCAACCAAGGTTATGAGTGAATAATTGTTGAGGTCAGAATGTGTGTGAATACCAACTGGAAAAGAGTAGGTAAGCTAGTCTGTTTAATACCAAGGGCCAGATATTTTGGATCGACATACTAGTATGCAGTTATAGCTAACTGAATGTCTGTTTCCGATTTCGGGTGTACTATACTCTTGGTATCTCTGCAATTTTCTAATCTATAGGACAGAAGTACCCTTATTATTGTACTGAAAATTCTGACTTCGGTATCAGCTGCTTACTGTTTCCAGTTTCAGATCTTCAATTGTGGCAATGCTGCTTCTGCTTCGCCCATCCGCGCCTTCACAACTGCATCAGACCCACCTTGATCATCAACGATGATCCCCAAATATGAAAGGGTTTCTACGTTTTTTCAAAGCATCTCCATTAAGTTTGATTTATTTGGCTTGGAGGATCTTGTTTTTTCCCTTGTATATGCTGAGGCATACTTTTTCACGAGCTGCTGGTACACTGACTATCTTCATCATAATCTATTATGGTGTATCAAGTAGAAAATCCAGATGAACTGCTTAGTCCGAGTTATCTAGTTGCAACAAAGCTGCCCGCTGTACTTCATGCTCCCACTTGAGCTTTGGAGGTCTCCAATATCCTGTCAACAATCAAAAGACGAAAACAATGAGAGAGTAAGCAACCTTGTCTGATACCGTTTTCTATTTGGGTGAATCAGCGGGCTGCCATTCATACACGATTTCTCAGTGTAGCCGTCGTCATAAGAACACCTTATGATGGCGTAACTTTTCTCAGTAGTCATCTGTACTCACGTTCTAGTCTATTCTACGAACTCAATTTTCTCGTAAAGCTGATGTCTATCATCGCTGGTCGCGATGTAATCGTTTTCTCTCTCGTTTTCTCGAAGAAACACTTCAAGATTATGAATACATAAGTTTGTTGGTCCATTATCTGGCTCCAACATTTATGATCGATTGAGTATGCTATGAAAAAAATTTCCCCATCAGCTTCTGTATATTATACTTGGGCGAACACCGTTTATGCGACGGCGGTAATAAAAAGCCAAATATGGATTTGGTTGGGTGACTTTATACCAGGCAACCGTTCATGCAGACATGATAATGAAAAGCATGCAAGCAAAGCGAAGCGGAGAGAGGAAGTGAGCCAACTCAATTCGATGAAGTCTGTTAGGTGGGCCAGACACGTGTACATACACGAAAAAAATCAACGAAGTTATGCGCGAACGGCTGACAATGTCAAAAGACTAGAGTGCTAATTGACTTATTCAGAAGCTGGGACGATCCTCGTGGGCTAGACAAAAAAACACCCAATACTATTCATTTGTTCATAAGATTCTTCATGCCATTATAAGAGGAATCTTCCTTAATATCAGAAAGAGCACAAAAACATCTTCGATGTAATTAACTTCTAACAAGTTGGAATTTGAGCGTCACATATTGCAAATAGAACAGAATTGGATCTCCTAATTTCTGCGGCTATTTAAACAAACTTCACTATCTCTCGCATCATTCAGTCACTTTCTTTCATTAAATTTATCGTTGTTATGGTTGTCAGAAAGAATTATCAGAAAACCTGGAAAAAATATCCCAACATAATTAGGATCTCCAAACAGAAGATAGTAGTCCAGAAATCAGAAAATTGAATGACGTAAAAAGAATTTTTTAAGATAACAAAAGTGGAATAAATTTCAGTCGTGTAGTTAGTTAAGGCTGTTCAAATTTAATATAAAGGTGATTATATATGAACCTTCTGAGAGGAAGAAAATAGATCCAATTTCTTGTGTATTACAGTAATCGTGGAATGAACATATCTATCAAAATTAATTCACTTAACGAGTACTAAGAACACAGGATTGGAGAATTCGAGCTGGTTACTTGTGTGTTATTCATTGTTACACTGAAGTAAGCAAGTGCTGATGTACATTCCAGGTTCTTTCGAATAGCTTGAATTTACTTTCGTGTTTCATGCCTCAACGATTATCCTTAAGGCGTAAAATATATATCTGGTAATTCACTAGTACTTTACATGGATGATGAACCCATTAGTTGGTAAAGGGTCGGGTCAAGATTGATTAAGATCACAACTACAGACCATTTACTCCACGTCAGAGAAGCGTAACATCTCCGTGAATCAAGGACAAAGAAGAAGAGTTCCCCCAGACAAAGGGATTTATTTGCTGGAGATTTCTTGGTGTCAATGAAATACCGAAATCGTGTCAGAAAGTAGGGGCGAAGTCATAGCGAGCGGTATAACCGAAATGGCTATGCTAAAGGTCTACTAGAAACAGACAGACGTATTAAATAATTCTCTTATTAACATCTTATCTATCCACCATCTACATCATTGGTATTTGTTCCAAATTTCTGATTACTTCTGGTTTCTGATAATCTCGATTAGATTTTACCGAAAAAGCGTTGTCGAACTATGAATGTTTGTGATATATATAACATCGAACGATATACTATTCGAAATCGACTTCAAAGTATATGAAACGCTATCGAATGAGTGCATTGTTATCCACCCGTGAATAATGGCCTAACTTGGGGCAAGGAAAAAGTTCTATTGTGCACTCATATCCATGGTTCCTCAGCTGTCATCATTCCATGAATACTCTTACCTCGTAAATCCTGTCATTTCAGTAGTCTAAACAAGCTTGAAAACTTTCAATTAGAAGCACGATGTCTATTTTAGTTTGAACAAAATGAAAGAACTAAACTGCTCATAGCCAGACAAACAAGGAAAACTTCTCTTACTTCTACTGACGTATAGATTCTGACAATTTTATTTCATTTAATGTTTCCTAAACATCGATGTTATTGTTTACATGCTTCAACAAAATAGTACTTCGAGGTCATCTTTTTTAGCTTGTTTTGAATCGCTTCCTTGAGATGCCAATCAAAAGAGGTCATGTTGCCCCTCAAAACACATTCATCGATACTCTCATTCAAAAATTTGACAGTCAAGGTAATATTCTTTTTTGCGATAAGGAATCTAAATAATTCAATACTTTTTTGTTTGGAACGCCTTGTACAAGGTGACATGCTGTACAAAAACTTTTCAGCGTGATATAATATTTAATTTTTCAAGCTGTATATATTTAAAAAAATTTTTTTTTAATCACACGTTTTTTGGTACATCCATCATTTTACATTTTTAAAAATATGTAAAGGCGTAACCATTGTACGAATGAGGATATAACGTGAACCGATTATTTCGACTTCCCAAATAATTTATTTTCTCTGATATTTATCCTGTTGTTAGGTTCCATTTTTCGACATGAATATACTGTTTACATGGTAAAGTATGGAATATTTCGTGCAATAATGCGACAACGTTAGTCCGTCACAACTGGTATAAAATTATATGTCGTACTTTGCATAATAATTGTGATTTAAAAAAGCTGTTGGTCATTATCCGTCTGACCCTTGGTTTTCATCTATAACTATCGATTATGTGTTTAGTAAACATCGTCATCCTGCTTGTTATTTATATGCTTCTTTGCCTAATCTTGCTTCCGAAACCTAATACAATAATAAATACATGCTGGAACACCAGTGACATTATGTAGCTCTGTAAAAGTATTGTTAGATGTTAATAAATGAAATTTAGCCAAATCATAAGTTTCAAAAGTCAGTTTGTTTCGAATTTTCTCATTACGTTTGTGAATCAGTCTTTACAAATTTTCCCACTATTGACTGAGGCAAAAAATTAATATTAATAACATTGTTCATAAAACTTTGTCTCCAGGTGATAGTCTTGGTCTTGGTCTCTTTAGTTAAGCTATCAGATCAATAAAATACTGCTAATCCAGTTTTCTTGTGTCATTAAAAAAACCACCCTCTCTCTTTTTTCAACCTGGAAATGACCACTTCATTCCTGATTTTCAAAATCAAACCCCTTCTTCAATTCTTGATAATTCTTTTATTCTTACTACCAACCCTTCAATGAAATTATTCACATACGCTATCAATGCTAAATGTTTCAGTTCATGGAATTTCGTTTCTGGACTCTATTTTACATTATATTTTGCAGTTTACGATGGTCGGACGGTATTTTATGTAGACCAGCCTGCTTCCTCGTCTGGAATTCTAAAGTCGCGTTCCACACGAAACGACTACAGCGGAGTTGAAGTAGTCGATCAGTATCACATAAAGCAAACCTCTCTCGTACAGAATTCTAAATTCCCAGGACCGATTTCGGCGGAGAATTTCGACACCCAAGTAGTTACTGTATGCTCAGACAGCTTTCCAATCATAAGCATACATACAAACGTCTGACATGGAAAACATCTCAACTGAATCAACGATAGACACAAATAAACCATATTGTAGCCAAATACCGTTGTGGGGGCTCATTTGGAGACCATGTTTTACTCTACGGCACATGTCTGGGCTCTGATCATGCTCTAGTATGAGCCGTGTTTGTTTACTCACTACTGGAAGCAGGAAACCCATGTCAAGAAGATCGCTTTGTTCGCAACTTAAGGATTTAAAAACTCAAAAATGTATATCAAGTATAACTTGCAAAGCAGGTTGTCAGTAGTCAGAGTATTGCTCACCTGATGCTGGTTGAAATGATATTCAGGAAGCCATACGAACATTGGCGATATCTACGAGTGATTACACTTGAAATATTGAAAATTCAAGAGACTTCACTAAACAAATAGATGCTCAAGAACTCATACCATCAATTTCCGAAAAAAATGAGGGGTGAATCAAACTCAAACGTAGACCGACAAACAGTCGTGAGCTGTAATGGAAGGTCGTCCGTCAGTTTACCCGGCTGTTTTTAATATAAGTGACATTTGCCACTAATATTCACGTACAAATCTGCGCAAATACAGCAATCTCCTGCCGATTTCGTTAATATTTATCACTTCTAGTATAGGCAAGATGTTTATCTGGCAACCGAAAGTCCATTTTGCACAATTTCAGTCGATTGTGTATTACTCTGTGGATATAAAGTGTGGTCTACTTAAGTAGTAGATTTGCTTACTTTACTAATATCTGATCCCAAATTTCTTTGAAGAATTATTCATACGCTTTGGGCCACTAAGCGAGCAGCTGTGAGCTTAGACATGAAATACAACGTAGAGGTGACTGTGCTGTGTTACATATGCCCAATAATACATCAATAATATATCTTAGGTTGGAAGCAAGCTAAGGTCGGTTAAACAAAGAATCGTCACTAGTCCGTGCGGTTAGTAAGTTTCGATCTTTTTTCATACATTTTTTAAACCGAATTTATCGCTTACTTCTTTAAAATGTTTTAAATGAATAATCTTCCCTAATACCTTAAATAATACTCCTTTTCTATTAATCCAATTAATTTCATTTCACTGTGGTGATATGATATGTCAATTTATATAGAGACCTATTTATCCTACTCTCTATATTGATTAAGCTCCAGGAAAAATTCATTATAACGAACACTTTATTCGATCATCAAGTATAATCAACAAACATCATTGTTTTTGCAGGTCGAAAATTTTTAATTGCCAATGCTGTTCTTCCTGGAGCTCCGATCATTTTCTGTAATGATGAATTTTGCTCCCTTTGTGGGTATTCAAGGGCTCAGATACTGTGTCGTTCTGCTGCTTTGGAATTTTTATATGGACCATCGACTTCATCCACATCTATCAAGGATTTGAAAACAGCACTATCGGATTCTGAGGAGAAGGTTATCATGGCTGTTCTTTGTAACAAATCAGGTAGCATATATTAATAATACTAACACTTTTCAGCTATTGCAATTTTTTATCATGAATTCTTTAAAATGTAACTGGAATACCATCGATGAACGTTTAGGGGTATAAAATAGGGCTTGTCAGAAACCACACAACACAAATGTCTGGTCGACTAAACATCGAACACTAATTTACATGTAGTTATTCGTCGTCTTTTTTATCATAAACTACTTGTTTATTTAAATGAGTAATAAAATAATATTTTTTGATTCTTTTTCGCTGAAATTTATCCAGCATTTAATTCATGGCAATCTAACTAGTAGAGTAATAACCCATTATCTGAGGGTCATGTGATAAAAATCAATAATGGATAGAAATAATTCAGATTTCTTTCTAGTCATAATATCTACTCTTGTATGAATGCACAGTTTTATTAACTAAGATTATTTAGAACGCTGACTGTCAATCTATATTTGACTATTTAATTAAACAAATTATCCATTCTTTCATTGAATCTAAAATATATGATCGAAATTACAAATTACAAATAGGTGATTTTTTACAGTTAAAATTACAAACCGATATTAGTTAGATTACTATCAAAAACCTAGAAGCACCCGACAGGCATCTTGTCCTACTATGGAACTCGGTAGTGCACATCTGCGACTCCTCGCGAGGGAATCAAAGGCGGGACCTTTATTTTCACACGCGAATGCTTAACGTTTAGACAACCGGACCGGCATCGAGTGGTGGTATTGTCTAAATCTAATCAATTTATGACCTTGATCGGTTGCTTGAGGCTGATCACTGTCTCCAATGTGATACAGACTGAACTTCACTGAGTATGATATTTTCAATAGAATTACTGGAAGCTATCTCGAAACTGGTCACAAAGGAGCACATGATTATTGTCGGTAAAATGAAAAGTGCAATAATATAATCTCTACAAATGCTACTGAAGAGCCCCACTGTATGACAGAACAGCAGTTTAATGCTTCCAGGTTTTCAGTGATGGTGTTGGTAACATCATTTTGTGATTTCAGCTGTAAAATTAATACAAAATCACAAATAGGTAATTTTCAAGATGTTCCAATTCAAAATGTTATACACTTGAAACTTCATATGTTATCTTTTAATGATGTCACCCGATAGACATGAGTAGTACAATAATATTGCTTAATTTTTTCTTTACTTATAAAAATAATGATATCATCTTCAGATATTTCTTTTGTTAATTGTGCTATTTTTTGAGTGAACAAGAAAAATGTTCAGCTTGGATGATTAAACTCCAAGCTCTAATCTTATGAAATGTAAATACTGGTTTCTAATTTTCTTATCATAATTAAAGTTGATAGCACTGATAGTCCTTTATTCTTGCTATCATTTGTTATCGTGCTTATATCATAGTTTAACGGCATTATCCTAAAAACTAACTCCATAAAATATATTTACTCATATCTAGATTATTTTCTTAGACGATAAAATTCACTGTAATTCAGTTTGTTTTTCTCCAATTTCACCATCCTAGTGCGTTCTTTAAAAAAAACAAAAAACGAAAGCAAATATTACAACGATAATCTATCTGTAATGCGTATTATTGATTTTTCGCTTAACAAAGATAAACATACTTACCGTGTTTTTTTTTTAAAAAAAAAACAATTTGACAAACAAACAAACAATAATAATATTAATAAAAATAATGCCTTTTTTTTCCTCCTAAATAGGCAATCAGTTTATTTGTCAAATAACAGTTGCTCCAGTACGTAATGCAGAAGGCCTAGTTCGCCTATACATTTTAACTTTTGTGGTGAATTCTGAATATCGAAAAAGAAAAAGTACACATCTGCCTAGTAAAACAAGTAAGTCAATCTATTTGTGTACTTTAGAAAAAATCAATTTTAATTTTTGACTTTCATAATTTGTCATAATGTTAAATGTAAAATGTAAAATAATTAGGTATTAGTTAATTTATCTACCTTATTCACTTTACTTATTTCTTCTTTTCTCCTAGTCAACAACACTATTATATTGTTTATATGATTACTACACTTAAAAGTATTTATTCGTTAACTTTGAAACTGTTCACTATTCTGTTGTTTAAACGCAGATAATTAACATGAGTAGTTTTAGTTTATTTTTCTTTTAAAATACAAACTAATTCTTGTTGTTACAATCAGTTATTCTAAATGATGTAATTTTAGTGAAATAAAATTGGCTTTTTGATTGTTAATGTATTATTAATTACTTATGGCTAACTGAACATGTATATATATTGAGCTTTGTGACATAAACTGATATTTCATCTTTTCCAACAAAGATTTCGTAGGTCACACAAATGCATTGCTGATTTTATTATCAATTAGTTATTAGAAAATCAAATGAATTTCAAAATATAAAAAATGATAACTATATATGTTTATTCATTTTGTTTCGTAATAATACACAGTTTAACATGACATTTTTATACAAATTTTTTAGATATCACCTTGGACAGTATTTTTTCAAACTCATTCTTAATGTCACTGTTGTTGAACTTTCAGTAGAATACATAGTTAAGAGTTGAATATGGTAGCTGAGTCAACAGAGCATTAACTTCATTTGTTTACTTTCTCTTATCCTACTACAACTATAACTAAATTAAAATTATCTTTGTAAGGAAGAAAACTGAGTTTTTTTCTCATCGGGATTAACGCCAAAAAAAATGTAATAATTAGTCAGCTGATTTATTTGTTTGTGTTTGCAATATGCTTTACATAAACCTGTCATGTACGAGCAGCGTTACTATTTATTGTATTTTAATGATACCATTTCACATGAATCTTACTTAGTCTCTATGTTTATTTGTTTACCTACATAGGCTTAATAAATGATGGAAAATGTAATAGAAATTTTAAACAACATCTGTGTTGTATTCCTGCCAGTGAAGAAGAATTACAAACAGTCAGTCAGTCAACTAATATTCAAAGCCATAATGATGAAATTGAACAGTCAGCTTCTAAATGTAAGCCAGAAAATTCACCTTCAGTAAACTCTACAGGTAAGTAATCTTAAATAATATATATATACTGTACACAATCATTCATTAAGCTACCATTTTAATCCCATTAGATACAACTCTAAATAGCAATATTTGCTCCATTAAAATGCATCGGATGATCCTTGAAGTTTCTTTTATGGTTATCGAATTCCTAATCAAATCAATATTGGTCATTTAAGAAAAAAAGTCATACCTTATGAAAATAGTAAAACAACACTAAAAACTTATTTATGATAACTGATACTGATTGCATTTAATAATTTTATCTCATTGACAAGGAACAGTCAAGTACCTTTGAATTCATAAATGTACTAAGGAATTCAAAAGGTTAGGATGTGAATTTTATTTCAGCACATCAGTGTTGTTTTCTCAAAATCATTTAAGTCAAACGTGTATATTTTTGGGAGTGGCTTGATAATTTCTAGTTTAACTTAACGTTCGCATTATTGCAAGTGCATTTATAGTTGTTAAATATCTCGAGAGAGAAAATGCCTTCAGAGGTATTTCAGTTTAATTAACATAAAGCGACTGTCAAATTTTATACAATTATGTAAACTGTGTCCAAAAAAAATTATTACTGTTACTATACCCTAAGAGGCATAAAAAAATACATTGGGGAATTGTAGATCTTACCTCTACAGCCGTTGACTGAAAACAAAGAGTTTTAACTAGTTAATCCTGATGTTTAATTTGATTCTTGCATCCGGCTTTGTAGGATTTACATTAAAGATAACAGAGCTTGAACCAAGGCCAATAATGATAGTACTGTTTAACTAGCACAGATCACAGAGATGGTGGTTGGAAAAGTCATGAAGTTTGAAATATTGGTTGAACGTAATTGACATTTGAAAAAGACAAGTTCATTTAGATTTGATGGTTATATCATAAGTAAGTAAGCAAATGACTTTCTAGTCGTAAAGAAATAACATTTTTTTAAATTTTGAAAGCTAAATTAGGAGATTTCATGTGAACACCTTTTAGAGAAAAATTAGTTTTTTTATTAATCTTCTTCTTAACTGAGAGTTTTCATCATCCTTATAAAATGCCTAATGTTATAACTTTGATATCAATTAGATTACTAATAAAATTTTTATAATTAAGGGCTTTTTTACTGAGTGAACGGTACAATACATTTCCGAACATGCTAGGTTTTCTAATGCCTAATCGAATATCTGTTTTACTGAATTGTTCTTACAGAACAAGAACTAAGTTGTACATGCTTAGTGCAACCAGGTGAATTAAAACAATCTCTAAATCGTTCTAATTCTCTTGAGAACATTCCCGTAAATGTTCCAAAGGAGCCGAAAAAAAGTCGTAATTACTTAGTCTGTAGAGGTCATTCTGTTGTGAGTACATCTCCACGTATGTCTAGAGGCAATTCACTTGTTGGTCTTTCTCGTGGATGTGGAGGAATTGTGGTGAATACTGACTCATGGAATGCATCACGTCGTCATGTGTCCGAAAAAGTTGCCGAGGTTAGTGAATACAATATTTTTTGACTAATTATTGTCAGAAAACGAAAACTTTTCCTCACTTTTCCAGCTTAATGATTACAAATAATTTTATTGCATAGAGAATTTACTTTCAATTCAGTAAAAAGTTTGATGATTTCTCTTTAAAAACCATTTGGTTTACTTACTTCATTTAGTTAAATAACCTTGGATGTAATCAGTCATAATGTTTCTGTTAAAGAAGAAACTTTAATCAACTGTCTTACCTGAATTTTAAGGGAGACTTGCGTTTTCCTGCGACCTCAGTAATAATAAAAGTAGTTACATGTTTTAATAATTAAGGTATGGGATAAAATTTCCAATTACTAGTTAGCATTTATAGAAAATTGCTGTACAGTAAAATATTTACAATGATAAACCACTTAGTTTCATCCACTACCCAGTTGTCTAGTCCCAATTGCTAATAGAGTATATTGAAATGAGGTCGTTAGGTTACTTCTTTTCAATCTTCGTTAACATCACAAATTATCTTGAAACTGGCAATCAACGAAAAAGTGTTTGTCATACATAAATAGTTATGTAGTTTATGTAGGTTTGTTTCGTATGAAAGTAGTTATTATTGTGGATTATCATTAGCCAAATCCCAGACTGAGACTAAACACTTACAGTTAACACACACTGAAACCCGCTACCTCTTTTGGAGCTTGGGTAGCCAACGAGGAATCCTCAAACAACTCTTCCCTAGGCGCTGCTTTACAGTTCTTGCCAAATGAACTTTATTCTTTTGATGTCTGCCTTTAGTTCTCTGCACAATATGTACTTTGGCCTGCCTCTTTTAATTTTGCTTTGAGGATTTCAAGTCTTGATCTGTGATGCAGTTTGATTATTTTCGTAGAGTATGACTTCATCACCTTTCCTTGATATCTTCCACAACTGGACGCAGGTTTGTTTTCTACCACAGTTGGTTGTTTCCAACGGCGTCTGGCCAACAGATCTGGAATATCTTGCCCAAACAACTGTACCTTTTTGACTATGATTTGGTTGTTCTCCAAGTTTCAGTGCGGTAAAAACGAACTGATTTAACGTGTGTTGAGAATTTTGACTTTAGTAATGTGTGACAGATGTTTTGAGTTTCGGGTAATCTTCAGCTGTAAGAATACTTTCTTTCCAATCTGTTCCTTTATATCTGCATCAGATCCTCCATATTTATCAATGATACTGCTCAGGTCTATGAAAGCTTTAACTTCTTCCACTCCTATGCTATCAGGTGTGACTTGTAAGCTACTCGTCTTCACTGTTGTGAATGTTGAGTCTAACGCTTATGCAGGCCGCTGCTACACTGGCTATTCTCGCCTTCATTTGTTATTATATATAGGATAGAAGTGCTAATTCATCTACAATGAGCTTTTTAGCCTGGGCTTAGGAATGGCAGTGACCTTAGATGGGAAATCCAGTTTTCCCCCTCCAAATACACCTGAACTAGTGGTAGGACATGAACTGGTTAAGCGTGCAGACCGCTTCACTTATCTTTGGAGTCCCATAAGTTCTGATAGCTTGGTGATTGATGAAATCTCAGCACGAATACAGAAGGCTTGGTTGGCTTTTTCCGATTTGCGTCACTTATGGCGTAGGCGAGATATCCGCACACTACCCTAAGGGTGGGTCTACTGCGCAACAGTTTGCTCCGTTCGAATATATTGGTGCGAAACATGGCCAGTTAGAGTCAAGTATATTCACAGGCTATTAGTATTCGACTTCAGATGTTTTCAAAGCGTTAATCGTATATCCTGGGAACACCGAGTAAACAATGCTGTTGTTTGGAAATGAGTACTAGGTAAGGATGTCAGATCAATGAATGAAGTATTGAAACTTCATCAGTTGGCGACGAGCTACTTTTTGTGATGTATAGGTAGGTTAGAAGAAAGCGAGGGGCGGCCAGACCAACACATGACACAAATCCATCTTGGTCATTAACAAGTGGACTAAGCCATGTTTTTAGGTGTGATCCGCTAGTCAATGGTAACCAATGGTCAAGGACATTGAACGACATAGCTAAAAATCGATTGCAATGGTGCAGGTGCATACACTCTTTTTGTTCCACGAAATTCTAATCTTCAGAATTCCCCATCACATCTATCTTCCTCTCTCTATATTTATTTTACAGAATTATACTTCTTGAATCATATCTCCCAACCCTAATCTCCATTTCCACTAAAACCTCTACTACTCCTACTGCTATGGGATTTGAATCGACAGTTCCGTCTCTCTGTGCTACTGTGGTATAGAAACATGAACTTATGTACGTACGTACGTAAATAGTTCTATGTTGTAAATGAATGACTCACTAGATGGACGCAACGCTGCCCCTTAATTTTTTACTTTCATACATTATAATAGATCATAAAATGAATTATTACATATTTCACTTTTATGTAACTGACATGAATTTATTAGGATTACTGCCACAATAGCAGTTACGAAAGCAGCGATGAAAGTCTAATTTTCCTCTCAAAAGTAAATTTTTCGACTCTCAATTTTTAGATAATTAAACAGAAACTACAGAAAAAATCAGTTAACACAGAAATCAATTTTAAAAGTTCAGGTTTTTTGCTGTTTTGTTGAGTATGAAAAATAGTTTTATTAATATATATTTTCCAATTTAGATGCTTTCTATGGGCCCTGAATTAAATCCAGAACAAAAACTACACTCTCCTCGTATCCATCCATTCACTTTAAAACATTATGGTCCTGTTAAAGCAGTTTGGGATTGGCTTGTTCTTCTATTTGTAATTTACACAGCTGTATTCACACCTTATGCAGCAGCCTTTCTACTTCCCGATGCTAAAAGAAAAAGAAGACACAATGTGAGCCTATTTTATATTTATTACGTGTTTTTTTATATTGATTTTTCACAACATTTGGAATAAGCCTATTTATGTTTATCAGTTACTTGGTAATTCTTGGAGCAATTTACTTTCAACCTTATAAAAACACTGATCTTGTAGCTCAATGATTTTCCTACAACATTAAAATTTTTATTTGTATCCTAATCGAATATAAAAACTTTGATTTAATTACAGAGGTCTGTTTATTTCACTAAAACTTTTATTCTGTATGAATTAGAACAGACCATTGTATTTATTGATACCATATAGGAATTAAAAAATTTTCTTACAGTTTTCATATTATGAAGTCAAATACTTTCATTTAAAATACATGGTAAAGTGAAATTCGGCATTGAAGAAGGTATTAATAATCTCAGTTTAGAAAATTTGCTTGAAAATAAAACCATTTGTATGATTATGATTGTTCAATTATCAAACTCCCTTTGAATTGTGTATTTAATTAAGACATAATTCGATTTAATTTCCGAATTTCTCCAAAATATCAACCATAACTACTTTGTTGTGACAGATACTTTAATTTTCGAAACACGTTTACTTTTCTCTCAGAAAATAGTAAAAAAAACTTAGTTATAAGCATTCAGTGAAGTAACAGTTCAGTTCATTATTCAATAAATTGATTCGAAAAATTCCAATGAAGCATGAAGTTTGAATTGCTAAGATCGACTAAAAATTATTTGCCTACTAGACATTTTTGTTATAATGATTTTGTCCTTGAAAATAAAAAGAAGAAAATTTCATCCAATAACTTGTTTTATTCTTACTTTTTTTCTCCTTTCTAACAACAATTAGTCCTTGTTTGTGTCATTATACTTTGATCTTTTTTTCATTTCGATTTTCATGAAGTGAAAATGATGACCAGTTTGTTTTTATTTTGCGGAAAAACTGTATTTAGTGATGAAATGTTGAAGGCTAATTTAATTCTGTTTATTACGCTTTGGAGGGGTTTTCTATACCTTTTTAGAATGACGAAATAGAATGTCCACGCATACATACATGTATATAATTCACTTGGGATCGGTTAAACACAATGTTTCTCTCTTCTCTTCACTTCTCACCAATGTCATTTATTTGTCTGTCTTTTAATGACTTTACTGTTTACATTTCTTGATATTTTTTAATGTGAAATTAGAAGTTTCTTACTGTTGTAAACTTTTCTGTTCACTTCAGTCATCTACATAAAGAAAGGTATTTTCTCTTTATTTTTTTTTGTAGAAAATGTAAGGGTTGTAACGAGACTGGTGGTTAGAATTGGATTAATTGAACTTCTGTTTTATTGTTTTACTTAACCACACCTATATTGAAGGTTAAAAATGCAATTGAACTGCCTACCACTTAACTTTGGACAAGATGAAATAAAGTTAAAACAAAAAATTGAAAGCTTAAGATTCTATTGGACTGTGATCGATTGACTAGTCAACTCATCATTAGCGGAAGCCTTTATGATTAAGATTATTCTACTCTGTGGATTTCCAGTATCGAAAACGTACTGTCATTATTATTATTATAACGCAAATTTTAGGGTTTATCGTTGAAAGTATGCATAGTTAGATTGATTTCGCTCAGTAGAAAATGACTTAGATTTATCACACTGGAAGTAAAATCTAAAAATTTCTGGCTTTGAAGATAGTTCCTATTACGGAATGACATCAGCTGAAGAATATTTCTAAACCATGCAACACAAGATGCTTGTTTTGTCCCTTGTTTTACGACTCAATTAATCCTATTTCGTGATAATGACTGTATTCATCGGGGACAAATTTTCACAAAATATTCATGTTAATGAAAATCATAACCGACCTATCGTTAGATTTTTTAAAACGTCAAGTAAGAATTAGGAATGTCAAGTATCTCAGCCTTACATGAAATAAAACAGTTATAATCGATTTCACTGAATGACGTTAGAGTTATATTGCGGATTAACTGCAGCCTGAAATTGATTTCGATTCATTGATTACTGGACACCATTTTCACCGCAAAACGTACAGATCTAAGTGTCGCTGAAGAGAATTATTGATGATAATCGAAAAAGATGGAATATATGCCGCTCTACTCAGTGATTTAAAACGATTCTAAGAATAATGTAAAAAAAATGGTTTTCTCGAAACTCAACCAATCAGTATGTGTCACAAATGTACATACATCAGTCAAATTTTGCTGTAAGAGTCTACATAGTGGGAATATTCATGTTTCCGGTTTATCAAGTTATATTATTTTGTAACTAACATACCTATTATATTCATGCTATGAAATTGAAATCTTGAATTTATTCTTCTATTTTTACCATAAAATTAGTAAAATCAGTTTACGTTAAAATTAATATTAGCTAATTTTATATATTTGTTTTTTTTTGTCAGTAAGATAATGACTGCATGTGTAAAAAAAAAACTAGTTTATCATCAATAATTATTTTCCTATCATCTATTTATGATATTTCATTCTCTCTTGTGTCTATACAGGATGGTTGGGGTCGGTATAGTGGTCTGACATCGTATCAGAATCCATTACAAATTATTGATTTATTTGTAGATATTATGTTTATTGTGGATATATTTATTAATTTTCGTACAACTTATGTAAATCGAAATGATGAATTAATTTCACATCCTGGTCAAATTGCTATACATTATTTTAAAGGTTGGTTTTTAATTGATGTCGTTGCAGCCATACCATTTGATTTGTTATTATTCGGTGCTGAAACAGATGAGGTAAGTTTTTATACTGTAATTAATAGTTTTTGTTATTATGATTTTTCATTGCTTACATGACTATGGTTGATCGTAGTTTAAAACTATTGCAAAACTAAGAAGCATGTTGTACAACTGTTGCAGCTGTATGGGATTCCTCAATGCTGTGTATCTACGACTACAGCGGAGATCAAATAAAGGGTCTTCAGGTTTCAGGATGACCTCTTGACCCTTGGACTAATTGTTTATTATTGATGATGAATCTGGTCTGAGAAGAAACAGTTGTCCAATGTCGTCCCTGATTTGCACTGGTTATTTAACTATGATCAGTCCATTATGAAAACTATCAAATTCAAAAATTCCCACAATTCCTTCATAGTATATATTTTTTAATCATTGTATAAAAATGCGAATGGCATTTCATTGTTTTAAGTGATTTATTCAATAAAAGATGATAATGTCATTATCTCTCAACCCAAAAGATGTAGATTCAGGTTGAATTCGAGGAAGATTTGCTTAGTTTGAACAATGATGATTGATTAATGATTTCAAATGTGTAAAAACGCAAACCTCCAAAACTGTGCCCCAATATAATTTGCTTAGTTTATCGATTTATATGCTGATAATATTAAACTTCACGCTCTTCATTTCCTAACCATTTTTTTTGGCGTTGAAAATTAAGGCATGTAGATATGATGTATTTGATCATAATTTACAGTTATTACAAATTTTAATTTTTATGTAAGTTTAAGTCTAGGTTACTGAAATAACAACTTAGTAGTTCTTGTCTTAAGACAGTAAAAATGATTTAAATTTAAGTGTTTACGAAATTTTTAGCTCTATAGTATCACTCTTCAATAATAACGTATCATAATTTTATAATGAGCTAAGATTGGTTAATATCTTATTTTAAACTAAATATAAACTATCATACAGTTGACAGTTATAATCACAGAAAACTGTCTTCGAATTCCATATAGCTAGATCATACAAATCCTGCCTTGGTAGTAATTGTTCCCTTTTTACTATGATAACATAACTTGAAAATTACAAGATTCAGTTCCTTTAAGACAATTTTTATTTCTCAATGAAACTATTTGCATAATATTTATCACATTTTTTTAAATTTTATCTAAAATGTTAACTTGAAATACATTCACTTGATCAAAATTTCCATGTTCAATCTATTTTCCATTACTAATTATGTGGACTTTTAATCAGAGTAAATTGAGTTTTGTTTAAATTATTTTCACTGCTCCACTATTTTTCAACTAATAATTCATACAAAGTAAAGTCAATTAAACGGTTTTATAAATTATAAATTTTATAAATTAAAAAGTCGATATCACAGAACAGTGAGATAATTTTGTTTTTATCCATTAGTTCTCTTGACAAATACTTTGTAACATTGTGATATCATTTGAATCTCTTTCTATAAAATGCTTTCTCCTGATTTCCCTTAAATTTACTAATATTTTTATTGTGGATACGATGTATTAAATGTTTGCTTTTTTTGAGAAAGAAACTTAAGGTACGAAAATTCAATAATTAAATTTGAACAGTCGGTGGCAATGGAATGCAGGATGCCTGCTTTGTCCCACTTAGAACTCATCAGCTGGATATGTCTGCATACCACTGTTGATGCTTATACAAAGACTCGAACTAAGCCTCTTTGGTTTTAAACGCTAACGAGTTATCTCACTATAACTTCGAACTATAAGTTACTGTAGACAAACTAACTTATTCAATTAACAAGAAGTATTATTACATTTGGAAACATATATTTGATTTTTCCTGAAATATTTGATATCACTACTGTTTTGTTGAAGTTTCTGTGATTTTTTTAAAAACACTTTTCCAGCTGTAAGATATTGAAATTGTACATTGAACGCGTTTTACTATCAAATTCTGTTTACAGATGGCTACACTAATTGGTTTATTGAAAACTGCACGTCTTTTACGTTTAGTACGTGTTGTTCGTAAATTAGATCGTTATTCAGAGTATGGTGCAGCTGTTCTCCTGCTACTTATGGCTACATTTGTTTTAATAGCTCATTGGCTTGCATGTATCTGGTATGCTATTGGTAATGTTGAACGTCAACAATTCAATGTACGAATTGGTTGGCTTGATCAATTAGCTGATCAAATTAAACAACCGTTTGGTAATAGATCAACACTTGGACCAAGTATTAAGTCAAAATATATCACAGCATTATATTTTACTTTTTCAAGTTTAACTTCAGTTGGATTTGGTAATGTTAGCCCAAATACTAATTCAGAAAAAATATTTTCTGTATGTGTCATGTTAGTCGGATGTAAGTTTACTATTGTTATTATTATCATTATTATTATCTTTGCTATCGAATATTGTTTGTAAATTATATTTGCCACGTAAAAAAATAACACTTACATTGACTTAATATATATTATAAACGGATTTGGTATGATTATTAACCAATAAAATGTATTTTATCAAACGAGTTAGCATTTCCCAGAAAATTATGTCCGTTAGATCATTTGTTTAACTATTTGTTGTATGTATAAATCACTCACTTGTTTGTATCATATTTTTACTGAAACCGTTGAGTGATATAAAGTATATTTTTCACTCGTATCATTTTATTAATTGTGGTAATTTTTATGAAGACTGATTGCATATGGTAAAATATAAGTACAGTACAATCTCAGTATGTGATAAGAAAATGATCCTAGAGCCAAAAAAAGTAAAATTCGAGGATGACTTAGTAAGTAGGAAATATTCAACTGACATGATCTGTTTAAATGTGGTCTGATGCAGATAATTAGCTGAGCACTTTCAGCTAATGATATTTCAAATGAAACGAAAATAGTTGGTATCATTGATAACTGCATATAACTTTAGGGTATTATTCACTGCTACGTATAGTAGTTGGTTAGCTCAGATGACTCAGTAAAACCGCGTTTCTAGTTATAAACTTTATTATTATTTAATTTGTTCTATTTGTACTTTCAATTTAGAGTCATCACAAGTATTTAGAAAGCGCATTTTATTCCATTATGAATTTTTTCAGTTAGAGATACATTTATCCCAGTATTAGTATTGCCAACATAGAAGCATAATATGCCGACATAAACTGATCACGTTCGTCTCTGAATGTCGATAATTATGAAATATAACACCTAGAAATTATTGACATTTTTTAATAATTAATGAAGGGGATTTGTATGTATTGTATTATTTTCACAGATGAATGGCCGTTGTGTCCCAATATGGGACTTTTCAGCAGTACATGTCCAGGATTTCATTTAGTTCCAAATATATATATATATATATATATAAGATATGTGCTGACACTATTCTATCGGTAACGTTCTGTTCGCAAGTTTTTTGGCCCTATATTCGATTTTTTTTTAGGCTTTGTATCTGTTCGACTATTGAATCCTATACAACAAAGAAATATTTCTCTTCTATCCAGTGATTCGTAGTGTTCAGTAGTTGATAATAGAACTGTCTGCGAATTCTTAAGTGTTATATCACTCGGAATATTTCTTTATTTTGCTCCAACAGTCAGATAGTCCCTCACTAATCCAACAATCTTTATAGCATTCTAATAATAAATTATATTTCGTAGACTATTATATTTTCTTATACTTATGCAAGATTTAGTTTTAAGTGGCTATTAACGAACAAATTTGAGCATAATTTTTATATTCTAATCACTTCAAATTAAGATTATTGTATTCCAGTATCAATGTTAGAAAAGTCCGAACATGAAGTACGTAGTTTAGGAAGACCGAATGAAATTGAAAGTTGTGAGTTATGAATTCAAGATCAACGGATTTATGGGCGACAAGCATGTCTGCACTCTTGATTACGGATATTAGCTAGAAATACCTATCAGTAATTTGGTCCAATTCAACTTTCTTTTAACTTACTTGTATATCAGCAACCATAATACCATGATACATTAGGCGTCTTTGTATACATAACTTATATCTCTATCACAGAGTGTTCTCAGTCTTATCGACTGATTTGCTACCTTAATCTAGTAATCTTTAGTAAAGCTCATCACTATCCATTTGATGGTCTTGTAAAACATGAGATGTTTGGTTGAAATACTAGTATCTTTACTATAATTCTTAACTACAAAGTTCACAATTGGAACTTAAATTATTACAAAGCATTCTGCTGCACAGTATACTCGACCGTTGATTGGCTTAGAGACATCTTACATGTGAGATACTGGGTCGAAATTTATATATTTTTTGTCTATGACTATACACTCTTAAAAATACCGATTATTTGCAAACGCTGTCAATCGTATTAGGTTTCAACAAAATGTTTTATGAAATAAAAGCAGTATACAATTGTTTATGTTGAAACTTTGAAAACCCACAAAGTGTCTGTATATATCAGTTTATTTTTGTGCAATTCAATGTTGCTTAGCATATTTAAATATTTTTTTATAAACTTTGGTCTCGCTAAATTTTTCTTGATAGCCTTAATGTATGCTGGTATATTCGGACATGTAAGCGCTATTATCCAACGGTTATATAGTGGAACTGCTCGTTATCATGCTCAAATGTTACGCGTTAAAGAATTTATTCGTTTTCATCAAATACCAAATCCATTAAAACGACGTTTAGAAGAATTTTTTCAACATGCATGGTCATATACAAATGGCATTGATATGAACTTAGTATTACGCAGTTTTCCTGAATGCTTACAAGCTGACATATGCTTACATTTAAATCGAAATCTACTTAACACGTGCTCACCTTTCAAAAGTAAGTTCTATTGGTTATATCCTGACACGATTATGTATGTTTTAAGCATAGATAAGTGGTGGTATGCTATAGACATCAGGATGAGCGTTTCGTCCTGTTTAAAACTCACCGGATGTTGATGTTTATTCCGAGAGTCGTCGAACCCAGTACTATGCTCTTTAATCGCCATCACGTTATCCACATAGTTCATATAGCCACTGTCTTGAGCAATCAATCGAAACTTTACTGTTTATTGTTTAAACTTTCTCACTAATGTTGGCTTAATTATTTTAATTTTAAATATTTATATTTCAAAGTTTTTATCGATCATTTCACTGATGACTCTTTAGTGGCATAGATAATAGTAGTATGTAAATTACATTTTGCTACTGTTATTAGTGAAATCTTAATAGTTTTCTTTTCTTTAAAACTAATCGTTTCAAATTATTTAAATTATAATCATTAAATTAAAAAATATCTAATGAATTAATGAATAATGTAGTCTAAATAAAAGAATCTTTGTCAAGAAGTTTATTTTCGAAGCCATACAATTATGTGCGTATATATATATATATATATATATATATATATATATATATATATATATATGTTTATAAACAAACTGTTTGTTAGAATTTAATAAGATTATCTGAAATTAAATAGCATAGTTTTACTAAATAATAAAGTATTGAGGGACAGAATTTTTTTAAAAAAACATGAACTATCTACTAACTTGAATTAAACAGATTAATTGTATAATTTACTTAGAAATCAAAAAATATTTCATTTGAATTGATAATAGAAAATTCTAGATAAAAACAACTTTTTGTAGCAATAGTAGTAATGAAATGAAAAAATTTAATATAAACATCAAAAAACTAGGACTATAATGCCAAGTATCTTCAGAAAAAAAAACTGTGATGTTACACACTTAACTGAGACTTTTTAATTGTCTCCTAAAAGCCTAATGCAGTTTAAAGTAGCCAGTTTAAATATACTCTCCTTGGAATCTCTGAATAGATCGTATAAATAATATCGAATGCTGGGTTTATATCGGAATATTCTGTATCTACAACACAGTACAGAATAAGGTGTATAATTGACATGAATTATTCTTTGCTAAACAGTATTGATCCTCCTGATCACCCTGAACCCGGCGGGAGTAACTATTACTTTCTTAAGGTAGCCAAATGCATCGTCATCTAATTGAGTGGGTATATTAGGTGACGCGCATAAATGGAGCCTTCTGGGGGTTGTGGTGGCGAATACCTCTCTTCATGGTCCTGCCAGGCAACGTGGGGTTGTTTACAGCTCTGCGGCTAAAAGCCGTTCCGAACGCTTAGGATACCGTGCCTAGCATGGTCCAGAATAATGGTACGTGTTCAGCCACTCTGGTGGATTAGGACTGAACTACTCTAAGTCTGAATCCTGTCCATCGAGCGTAGGTAAATTCCGATAATGGTTTGAGGACTTGTCCTCTATCATTCCATAGTAGCAAATACCTTGAAAGGGATGTAGCTTTCCAGGATGATTGAAGGCTGCCCTCGACGTTCTGTTTGGGGAGGCAGCCGTAGAGATCCTGTACTCTTGAAGCCGACCCTATGTGGTTGTACCGAACATTCTGCATCTCGGTGTAGTGTATAAACTGGCGTCGAGGCCCCTTAAACAAGGGTCTCGAGTTGGGTTATAAGATCCGGTGCTAAAGGGTACTGGACGCCAATGATGTCTGCCCACTTCTGTGGGATTAACACAGTTTGGCCGAGTACTTGCACTTGCTTGAGTCCATGAAATTTTCCTCATGGGAGTGTGTGCGTTCCGGCTGACCTTGTGGGACAAACTCGATCTTTAGCTTGAGGGCTCCGGTCGATTGTATCAGCGCAAGGCAGTTGGAGGCCAGACGGTTGGAACAGCTGCTGGCTAGTTCACTGCTGGGTGGCTCGATAAGCTGTTCATGGTGCCTGGTCCGGCTGGCTAAGCCCGCCTTGCAACCCATGCTAACTAGGGATCTAGGGTAATGGATTGGTGGAGGGATTTGTTGATTCATAAGTGCCCGAACGGGGGCTTCTGTTCGTGTGCTTGCTTTCTCGACGTCCGACCTGCTTGCAGACCAAACTGGACAACATGTACGTTCACGATTGGGGTAGGGGTGATCACTGTTGGCTACAGTGAAAATCCTTGTGTTGCCTAAAAAGCAGCGATGTGCATATGCAGCGCGCTTGTCTGTTAACCAAGATATATATTGATCCTCCTGAATCAACAATTTTTATTTGATATTATTTAAGTATAGTTGCTTTTGTTGAAGTAACAAGTTTATGCTGTCGTTGAAAAATTATCATTACACTAATAGATTTCATCATTAACTGTTATTAGAGTTTATGAGAGAAAAAAATTTATTGTTCACTGTCATTTATTTTATGTATCAGGATTCTAATCCAATTCGGGAACTGATTTGTAAGTTCTAATTCTAATACAATCTTGCTATTTATTCTTCAGATTTAATGTTAACTGATTTAGTTATCTTGATTAGTTTTGATTAGTTTGTCTGATTCTTCATCTCTTTTTTTCTTAAAATAAGTTTTAATTAGACTGACTAGTCAATATATTCTCTCTGATTTGAAAATGTAAATTACTAGTGATTCTTCTTCTTCTTCTTCTTCTTCTTCTTATTATTATTATTAACTTAGTTTCTTTAATAATTAAAACTCATGAATGAATTATATCTTATTTATAATAAATTGAATACAACTAACTATCACTAACTATTGATAATCTGATGCATTTCTTAAAAGTTGAAATGTTCACACAAATATTGATCAGCAGTCATCGTTGCATTATATGAAATTCCTGCAGATGAGCAATTTATTTTAGATTTTATGAAAAAATATTATTTAAAATAATCTGAAAAGAATTACTTACTTTTTGTTTGTTGCATGATTATTTTAATATTTTTATGAGTTCATTATATCCTGTATAATGAACATGATGCTTACATTGTATTTCAGTAGTAAAAACTAGCATAACAAACAGAAAAGAATTTTTTATACTCATTCAATAAATGACAACTATTATGATTGAATAGTTTAATTAATAATACTTTTCTGTTTGAAGTGAACGAGTTGTATTTTGATCCAAATAAATTATAAATAAATTTTACTTTCTATTTGCACTTATGACAGTGTAATATAGAATTTTGTGAGGGTTAAAGTTCCCTACCGTATTCGTGATTTATTCTCCTGAAATTTTATTGGTACAGTATTCTTCACAGTATGTCTTGTAAAAACAGTGTTGTTATCAATCTCTACTGCATCCTTGTATTAATCATAACATGCTAACTAGTGAAATGTAATTCGCCGGATTCTAGTGTGAAACTACGACCAAGGAAATTAGATAATGTCAAATGTGATACCGAATATCACACACGTAACAATCAATAGTAGTTGAACAATATCGCGATTTAAATGATGCCAACGGTGTGAACTATTGGCAACAACGTGGTGGTTCGTAGGTCGGTCACTTGCAATAAAATCAGAAAAAGTCATAGATCCATACTTCTAATGATTCCTGTATTATGACGAAAATGAAGTCTAACACTTTTTTTTGTTTTCATTGGTTGCCTATCCAAAGCAGTCTATGATAAGCAACTTAGAATGAATATTTACATCTTCATATGTTCTCATGTCGTCCAAACTATCTACAACACTTATGACAGTTTTTATATTTTTTAGACTTCCTATTTCATTAAAATTATTTTATGAACATAAGTACTGATGCAACATAAACTAGAATTTCAATCCAAGTTAAAAGTAAACAAAAATGTAAACAAATAAATACTAATAAGTTTTCCCACTAGTCTAATGGGAGTTTCATATTGTTTGAAGGTGATCTTCACTACAGGAACCGACCTAAACAGAAAGACCAGTTGAATTAGTAGTTCATAAAAAACTTCGAATTCTACGATCGATCCTGTTCATGTTTATATATATAACTACTGATCGAACTTTAATTTTTTGTCAGAATTTTATCAATTTACAAAGTTTACTTTATTTTCATTAATTTGATTTATCATTCTCAATCTGCATACTTTTTTTTGTTGTTTTATAATTCTTGACTAATTTTTTGATTAAAAAAAATTTCCATTTTAACATTTAAAGATGCAAGTCAAGGTTGTCTTCGAGCGCTGGCATTAAAATTAAAAACAACACATGTACCACCTGGTGATACACTTGTTCATAAAGGTGATGTATTAAATTTTCTATGCTTTATTGCACGTGGAAGTATTGAAATTATGATTGGTTGTGATATTCTAGCTGTATTAGGCCAAAATGATGTATTCGGTGAGAGTCCGACGGAATTTATTAGTATGGGTCAATCAAATTATAATGTGAGAGCATTAACTTATTGTGATCTACACAGGATTCAACGTGATGATCTATTGGAGATTTTAGAAATGTATCCAGAATTTGCAAAACAATTTAAAAAAGAATTAGAAATAACTTTTGATTTACGTGATGTAAGTTCGTTTGCATTTGTATTACTAATTTTATTTTTATAACTCTTTAATCGATTAGCGATGCTGCATAATATAAGTGGAATATTTTAATTGCCCTAAGCTTTTATTATTGCTCTGTATCATATCGTCGACCATTACTTTCAATGAGCTTTTGAGAAAATTATACTTTAAGTCTGAAATTAGTTCATTCTGATAAGATTGTTTATTGCTAATCTTCTTTGTCGACTTTGTTATCTCTTTATCTTTCTTTTTAGTTATATCGATTTTTGTTTGTTTTTTCTGACTGACCTCTTACCAAATGATTGATTGACACTTATAGTATCAACTTAAAAGTTAGATCTATGTCTAAATGATTATTGATCGGAGGTTGACCTGTAATGTATACCCTTTAGAAATTCTTTGACCTTCTTACAGTTTTTTTTTATGTAGATATTTTAACATTTTTCCAATGATATGCATGTTTCTGGATGCATGTATGTGGTTGTATAATTTATAGAAAATGTTGTCGTTCATTATATAAGTAGTGGAATTTCTTCGAGATAATTGCTATGCTTCGTTTATCACTCGTCCTGGTACCCTAAAACCTGATAACTACCGACACGAAGAAATAACTACAGTTTATTGTTGCACAGAGCAGATCACTAAGCCACGAAGCACACAAAGTAAATACGAACAAAAATGAGTATGCGAATGACTGTATAGGATTTAGGAAGTGTGTATATCTAAACAAGCAAATAGTCCATCAAGCTCTTTAGGTAACCAACATTAAAGATAGTAAGAGGAATATGTGAGTAGGCCGTAACAGATAATTACGCATGCATGATCATGGGAATAATTGCGTAAAGATATGAGCAGATGCTTACCGTTATAAATGACACTATTTATTAAATAAGTTAGTTAAAGGGTTTAATAAATTTAAACGTCTATAACCTCAAGTTTGGTGAGGTTACTATAACTGTTTTGCTTATATATAAATGTATGGGACATTCACTTTGTCCCCTTTGATCTGAATAACTACTCCTAAGAAGATGTTATTTTATTACGTAATTACTCCTCAACGTATTTCCCGCTCTTAAGTACATTTCTAATTATTATCTGCTTAATTTATACCTCTTATTGCTGTAGTGTAAAATTGATGGATATTTTTAAAAATCTGAATAATATCAGTTAAGTAGTCGCTATCTTCTCAAAGCAAAATAGTAGGTTACTTATAATTATTGATAAAATCAAGGAATTTGTCCAGAGAACTCATATACTAACAAATATTTTGATCACGTATAGGTACATGCCTTAAGTTGTTATGAATACATTTATGTGAGTATAAGCGATTGTACTTGTACTATGAAATCGAAGCTCATAAACTCCTCTTGTTCGCCTGCAACTAACACTTAAAGATAATAGTTCCCTCTTTAATAAATCACTTATAATACTAGTGACCATATTACAATCTGTCTACCTTGCAAAACTTCACCCAATTCACATAAACATTCATTTCTTTAGAATTAACAATTATTTTGGTTTTAGCTTTGTATAGATGAAATAGTCCTCAAGACTATGAACTTATAGTGTTGTTACATCTTGTGATTACATAAACAGTATAGAAATAAGGAAGTTAACTGAAATACAAGATTAATAAACCAGTAACTGCATCAATATATTTTGTGTTTAGCTTAATGTTATTTCAACTGATTGAAAATGAAAACAATCATTGTGTTGTACAACAGAATGTTTGTTTTAAATTTAATCTATCTTAAATTCAGTTGTTTGTAATTTTTTTCCCCGACTTTTTTTATAATAATGACTATAGAATAAAAATGTTTGTTCTCTAAATATTAACAATGTAAACCCATTTTAATGCATCTATTACCAACACAAACATTGAAACGTTAACTGTCAACAGAGCGCTCGGAAAGTTTCAATGAAAGAATTTGATGTTTGATTTTCGTTAATTAAGAATTTATTCATCCTAAAATAATTGAATGATTGAAAAAAATTCTAGACAATAGTCGACTTGTAATTTTACAGGTACTAATTCAAAGTTGAATTTCACTTACATTGTTCTTCAATGATGCGTAAAGTCAACCGTATCTTAAGCTACCAAAAAAATAAAGCTTAACTGACTAGTTTAGTTTCCCTGCAATAAACTACCAAAAGTCCATTTGATTCAAAATTAAGCAGAGTTTGTGATGGACAGACAGACAGACAGATACAATGAAGAACGTCGTACATAGGTACATCAGTTCAGGTTGCCATACCACGTCAGTACAGAGACGCTGCTGTCAGTTCAAATCCAAGAGTGGTAGCGATAGTAGAATTATTAGCAGTAATGGAGAAGATTAGGGAGCGAAGAAAGGATATGATTCGAGAAGTATAATTCAGTAAGATAAATTTAGAAGGAGAAAGATAGAGATTATGAGGAATTCAGAAGGTGAGAATTAAAAAGCACACAAAGAGTGGATACACCTGCGCCATTGCAAACGATTCTGAGCCATGTCGTTCAAGGTCTCTAACCATTGGTGACTTTCGTCTCGCGGACCGCAACCAGATAGCCTACGTCTACCAATATGACCCAGTCCACTCGTCAGTGACTTCATGGATTTCTGCCATGTTTTGGTCTGGCCACCTCTAGCTTTCTTTCAACCTACTTCTACACCTCAAAACATAGCTCGTCGAGGCAGTCGGTGGTTAGGCATACGTAACACATGTCCCAACCACCTCAACTGATGAAGTTTCACTACTTCATCTAGTGATGTGCCATGCCTACCTAGAACTCGTTTCCTAACGATAGCATTGCTTAATCGGTCGTCCCATGATACACGGGCAATGCTTCGGATACACCGATGATAGAATGTAAAATAAAACCTTAATGTCTCTATCGTATTCAAAATACCTCAGTACATTGTCTAATGATCAAAATCGAGTTCGAAATTCGATTCAGATGTATTTATTATAGCCGTATTGGTTGATATATATATTTATTCTTAGGAAGGCTATGTTTATTCACAACTATTGCTCAACTTAACTTGTTAAAGGAAAACCGAAAGTGCATTAAAAATTAGATTTCAAAATGAAATGTTTTGAGAAAATCACGCTCCAATATCCAACACTAATCTAGCAAATAAACTGAAAATTGACCCAAAATACTGGATACGACACATGTGGGCAGCCATAAATTTTAAAGTTAACCTCAGCCCAAATACAACGCAGACAATTTTAGTTTCGTAATGATTATTGAACATTTCGAACTTCACTGCGAATAAATCCTTTTGAATATGGATGTTTGATTATGATTTTTACAATCCGTATATTATATAACAAGTACTAGTCATTCAACCATATATAAATAATAACCTTAAATAAATAACCTTATATAGATATTATATGTTTTGTTTTTGCTAGTATTCTGATCCGTGTATTCTTAATCCAGAATTAATCCCACCATCAGCTAAATTCCCCAGATATCCTTCACCTGACCATGTTGATTCACTACATCAGAACAATGGTGATAATCATGACAACAACAATGATATTATTTATAATAATAGTGGTGTCAGTAATCACAATTCGGATTGTGGAGAAGATTTTGACGAATGCTTTCAACTTCATGAAACAAATGGTAAACATTTGTTTATATATGTAAACAATTATTTGTTACACTGAAGCAAACGTTGCAACATTCATTTTATTTATCGTGGCTGTTCTTGTTATTGGTGTAAATGATATTTCTGTTTACATTGAAATAATTAAAATGACCCGTCTAGTATTTGTTTATAAACATTGTATGAAAGTAAATTGAATTAATTTCGCAATAACTGTTAGAATTACATAATTATATTAAAATAATTAAGAATAATAAAGTCATAATAATATATTTTTTAATTCTTAATTCATTCTATTAATCTTAGAGTAGAATATAATATAATCGCGAAAAACCATGCCTACAAAAAGAAACTGACACTCGTCATTACACAGTGAATAAGGCAAAAACTGATGGCAGGCAAAGATTTGATTCATCCACTCCTGACTTATATATATATATATATACAACTAGGATGGAGAGAATAAAATAATGAATGTTTTACCAATGCAATACAAAATGAATATTCCTAGTTAGTCACTTCCAGCTTAGAACTCTGCACATATATGATTCGTTTGAAGTTACTACATTATAACAAGACAATGATAGTATTGGTTATGGTAGGAATGGGTGCATATAAATAATGTTATTCAAGAAGAAAGAATTAAACCCTGGAAGGACAAGTATAAGATAATTTTAAAACAAACGATCTGACGGATAACTCTTTTAAGTCATACTATTCAACATCTCAAACTATTAGTTGTTGTGGTCACATGGACCCCTACCAGGTATTTTGTATCTAATAAAGGCTCAGACCGGAAACCAGTGACTTTATAGAGTGACGCTACGTCTTCATTTAAACATCCTTCCACCACGCTCCTAAGTCACTCAGTATATCATGTTGAGGTATGCTATGGCCAATCATACCGAATACATATTCCAACCATCTCACTTGATAAAAATATGTAACTTCATGAAGCGATTTGTTATCTTTACATGGCATTCATATGATGGTCCCGATATTCGTCATGAATTCTCCAAAGCTGATATGTCCTTGGTACACTTATAAATGACAGACTAACCCACTAAACCTGTCGATTAACAGGATCAAATATTTTCCCAAAGTGGAGAAATACACCTACAGTCGGCCGTCGATGTTTATGCCTACATTGCAAAACCTGACAGTGGGGTAGAATATTTTATCAGTTCATAAACGTCAGAGTATGAAACCGACCTTTTGTCCCACGTTCATTCTTCACCAGCTCAAGTAAAAAGTTTGATAATTACTGATTCCTTTATCGTTCTGATAAGATGATTTCTATCCTTTCTCATAAATTGAGACAATTATTGATCGAGATCAGTTAATATAAACTACCATATTTTGAGACAAAAACTATTCCATCTATAGACTGAATATTAATATTCAAATAAACATTTTCATTATCATATCTAATTTTTTTTCTGGACGTTTGTGTTAACTCTCAAGCGTGATAATATAATCATAAACATAACATCAATCAACTGAAAGAATTTTGGAGCTATGTGAAGAGACATATAAAATTGTTTAATCAATGTAGACAAAAAACTAGAATTAGTTTAAATGGTACCTCATTTGTAATAAGATGTATTTGCTTATTTCATTACATATTTGAGTCGATAGGATCGAGTCTATTTATCCAATCCAAATTTTTATTGTATGGATTGATCTTTTTTCAACCTTCGGAAGAGCAATAATTAAAGGTGACTTCAATGGCAAACAATTAACACCAGTCAAAGAACCATTAAAAACAACAAAAACACGGTTTAGAAACTCCCCCTCCCCACACATTTCTGTTTTTCACGTCTTAGCAATACATGCCGAGGAAGACGTTTTAGTCTCTACGTGACTTCTGAAACACTGATAAATTAAGTTGAGATTAAATGATTGAAAGCACCAACAAAAGTCTGTAATTCAACTACAAACCTTTAACACTTCATTCAGTTAAGCTCTAACATTATAGACAGACAATTAACTCATTCTTAACTTGGTTTAACCCAAAGATAGTTTTTGTCTCTAAATTCAAAAATTCCAGCTTCTTGTGAAATACTAGTGAACACTGAATTTCTGCTTTGCCTAGGTGGCATTTTTTCTTTCACAAGTAATTTAACTTAAAAATGATTATTGAATACATTTCATTTAAAGACTGAATCATAGATAGTATTCAGATATACATAGATTTTCATGATCAGCGTTAGACCATCATTGGAAATTCGGAAGCACTAGACGGCCATTTCAACCTAGTATGCAGCTTATTAGCTATGCACCTCCTGTGAATCGAACACTTAACCTTTTGATCGCTGAGTTGACATCCTGTGGTTTTAAAGTCGAATTTAAACGAATAAAATAAACAATAATCTGTAACTCTTTATATCTCATTCATAAGTATGCAAAATTAATTGACTGAACTGAACTAAGTTCCCACTTAATTATGAACAGTTGGATTTATAATTTCCAGATGTTCACAAAATCACTCATATAACTAACTATCGATGAGATTAACATTGATATGAACTTAGATATGTTTTAATTAGATAATTATCACTTGTATGTCAAACAAAAACAGAAAGGAATTAGATGTTAACCTATTGATACAATGAGATAGTATGCAATACTGTACAACTGAAATACATTATTTGCAATAGATAACTATGTCACATTCGACTAGGATTAAATTTGTGATTTCAACTTTGAAAATTCTGAACACCACTCTTCATAAATATCCTATACAAAATAATGCGATTATAATTCAATAAAATTTTCTTTAGATTAAAAAATTTTTTCATTCAATAAATGAATTCTTTTCATTGTTTATTTATTAACTTGTAGATATCCGAAATATCCATTGTATGCCGTTTATTGATTGTTACTCAAATGATCAGTCACCAAATGTTTCAAATAAAACACCAAGGAATCGAAATATTTCATTGTCTAAATCAATTGAACAAATTCATCAGTACAGTAATACATGTACATGTGATTCTAATGTATTTTCATTTACAAATGATAATAATACTAATAATACTAATAATAATGAATCGGATATAGTTAACTTGTCATCAAGACGTAAAACGATACATGATAAATATCCCACTGTCGAAGATTCAGCTAATGTTTCACAACCATCCTCTGCAACACCTTATCCACTTCATTCTAGATTTAATAATATTAAGCCTCGTAGGTTATCCGGTTTTTTATTTCCGTTTTTTTTTGTATGTTATAGCTTTATTGATGATTATATATGATATGAATGAAGTTAGGTTCAGTTTCATTAGAGTCTTGATATGTGACTCTTTTTGAGTGTCAAATATGATAATTGTTGTCAGTTTCTAATGCAAATGTCTTTCAATTAATAGCTTCTCTAAACGTAAGCAGAGATATTACATAAATATTTTGTAAGGTCACATTGAAATGATGTCCGGTTAGACATATGTACGTCAAACAATTCACACTAATACTGTGAGAAACATTCTACGTAGAAATCTGAAACAGTCGAATCTGTTTGAGGCTAAATAATAATCTAATGGTTAGATTACACAGTAGAACTGTTCGGTAAAAGGGCTTATCACTGAATTATCGATAGTCTTCATTTAATTAATGTGCCATTCAAAGGTGTTTATATAATATATTTTACACATTAGAAGTCATCAACCAATCTCTGTTAGACCACCATTGAAAAACACGGAAGCACTGGAAGCCGTTTCGTCCTGGTATGATGCTCATCAGCAGTGCGCATCCACGACTCCTGCACCTCTCAGGATTAAAACCCGAGACCTTCGGTCTTGTGCGTGAACGCCTAACCTCTGGACTACTGGGCCAGCATCCAACGGTGGTAATATCTAACCCTGATTGATCAAGGGATTTTGCGCGACCTCACCCATTTGCCTTTGGTAGTTACTGCCTACACCTGACAGGTTTGAATTCCAATGGTCACGTCTTCTCACTAGAACTCCGAGAATTTCCTTAGAAAGCTAGTCACTAGTGAGCACATATTACGATATTTTCAATTAGAGTTTTAAAGATTAGTGTTTTTAAACATTTGAAATCATCAATCAATCATTGTTAGACCACCATTAAAAACCTGGAAGCACTAGACGGCCATTTCGTCCTGGTATGGGACTCATCAGCAGTGTGCATCTAACAATGATTGATTGATGATTTCAAATGTGTAAAAACACTTATCTCCATAACTCTAATTGAAAATAATATATTTTGTTTTATAGTCAAAAGAATCATAATTATTGTTAAATTCATCAACAGTTTATAAACTAGCATTGTACTGGTAGTAGACCATGTACTCCTTGTTTGTAAGTTTATCTTCTTAGTATCTATCAGTCTACTTTAATAAATTATTCCACTTATCTAATAAATTATGACCAAAGTAAAATAAGGTCATCATACATTGCAATTGACAAAGCTTTGAAGTTAACTTTTATCTTGAATCAACAATTAAAATGAAGATTCTATTCATCTCATACATTACTATAACAATGAATAGTAGTGAATGGAGTTATTCACATTACTAAACATAAATAGTTTATAAATATTTCATGAACATCATTTCATATAAACTTGATATTATATATTCTATGAAATATTTTTAAAATGTTCACATTCTCATCATAGCCGAATAATAGAAGCGCTCTCAGAGAATTGTCTATTGATCAACTAATTCGATTCATTAAAGCTCACTTTTTGTGAATGATAAACATATTTCTTTTAGAATCACAAGTATCTGATCTTTTACAGAAGTGCCTTAAGGCATTGAAATGTTTGGCTGTTAAAAAATATTCCTGTCTCTTATTTTGTAACTGTGAAATTATGTAAATGACATAGATAATCACATCCTTAATTATTTAATATTCGATTATTTTAAATCATGCATTAGCTTGTTCCTAATTTCAATAATAGTTATGTATGTATACATATAGTAGCTAATTTAAGGTCATGCGTATAAAGCTACCTCTTAAAGAAAACAAATAATTTCCAAGGTCACTCATAGTAAAAATAAACTGTTATTGACAAATTGCATTCATTGTTTAACATGAATCAAAGTAAAGGTAATATTGATAAGAGACACATCACTGTGAAAAAAAAGATTATTATCTAATGTGATTGAAGTTAGTAAGTAATTAGTTAGAGAAGGAATAATAATAATGTTTACCCAACAGCTGGCCGTCATTATCAAGATTATTTTATTGATTTGTGTTGTGCGAAAAAATAAGCGAAATTATTAAGTCAACTATGAATAATAATAATAATAACGTGAATGAATTAAGATAATCGAAATATTTACGTCGTATTTATTCAATGTATCAAAGAGGCTAAATGAAATCAAGTAATTTCAGAAATAGTTATACATAAAATCATGTAGATATAAGATATTTTAGACATGAGAAAAACCAATAAATTAATATCATAAGAATTAACGGTCAAAGGCACCACTACTAACAGTGATAGGGCGTATAAATTTTTGTACACACAGTTGAGGCATTATCTCATGGAGACAAGAGCTTTCCAGTTGTTCTCATCTAGTTCTGAACGAAATGTTATATAGTTTTAAATATATAGTTTTTTTTTCTTTACTAAGTAGCAGAAGAAATCACTATTGGCTACAGTTTATATTTCATTTAGAAAACATTATTCAGACATACATTTCCATATAAACTATTTCTATACGAGAAAGTAAACATGGAAGAAAACTAGACATAGATTACAACGTCATATCAGTAGTATTCTTTTTATTTTTCTCATTGAATCCATTTTAATAAGAAAGTAATCATTATGATTTTATTAATTGATAATTAAGTCGGCTATTATTATAATGACAATCAGTTAGTTTAATTAAAAAGCTTATTATAATACTCTATTGAATTTACATAACTTAGATAACATGAAACATTGTCTGAATAATTTTTTTTTATAGATAATGTTAAAGTAACTAACTATGTCATTGACTGAAAGAAAATTTTCTTTCCAAGGAAATAATAATCTACATTCCCTAAACGAAATACATTAATACATATATAGAATTATGGAGAGAGAGATTGAATTATAAACTGATATAAAATTTCAAATATCCAGGGACGATTACAATAGGATAATAATTGAAAAGTTAAAAAAAATAATTTACACATCAGAAATGTAAAAAAAATATGATTGTTCATTGAACAGAAATAAAGAAGATGAAAATTGTCAGTCAGCCACTTACAATGTACAAATTTGTACATGAGTACATAAGTTCAGGTTGCCCTACCGCATCAGCATATAGATGTAACTGTCAGTTCAAATCCGACAGTGGTAGCGATAGTGGAGGTATTAGCAATAATGGGGAAGATTAGAGTTCGAAGATATGATTCGAGAAATATAATCCAGGGAGATAAATATAGGAAGAGAAAGATAGAGATGATGAGGAATTCAGAAGATTAGAATTTGATAGAACACAACGAGTGCATGCATCTGCACCACTGCAAACGATTCTTAGCCATGTCGTTCAAGGTCTCTTAACCATCGGTGACTTTCGTATCACAGACCCCAACCAGGTAGCCTACATCTACGAATATGACTCAGTTAACTTGTTAGTGACTCCATGGATTTGTACCATGTTTTGGTCTGGCCGCCCCTATCTCTTATTCAACCTACTCATACACAAAAACATCGCTCGTCGAGGCAGTCGGTGGTTGGGAATTCGTAACACATATCCCAACCAACGCAATTGTTGAAGTTTCACTACTTCATCTATTGATTTGCCATCCTTACCTAGTACTCGTTTCCTAACGATAGGGGTGTGAACGAATGTCATCTAATCTTACCGGCCGTTTCGCATCCGCATAGCAGGGCGGAGCGAACTGCTGCACAGTACTTTCGTCCTTTGGTTAGTAGACGGATATCTCGTCTACGTATGAGAATTGTAGAGATTATTAAGTATAAATTTACAACTGAAATAAGTGGCTTTATTGAAAAAGATGGAAAAAAAATTTTTTTCTTTGATTTTTGACAATTTCAATTAAAGAAAATAACAACACAGATGTAGTCAGTTTATGGTTAAAAATTAATAACTTTTATCAATTTTAGCTGAAGGAATATATTGTATGGAACATCAAAGTTTGGACAGAATTAATTCCTCAGATGTAATTGTAAATTTGTTAACACGTCTTAGTTCAATGGAAAAGTAAGTTATATAATTTTATTTCTTTTTATTTTCGAAGTCATATTATTTTGCATAAATAAGAGGATTAATTCTTAGGTATTTGTTAAGTTAATTTCATCTAAAAATACACAGGTTAAGTAAGATGTAATAATAATAATTAATTATTTATTTCAAAGAGAAAGCAATAAAAATCTTTTTACCGATTACATTTCAACTGTTAAAAAACATTGTACATTACACCTGGAAATAAGTAAAACAAGGGCAATTTTCTTTTTCCTTTTTTTGGATCTTACTCTTGTTTGAATGTACTTTCATTTGAAATTTAAGTCTTGCATTATCATGAGAAATTTTCATTTTATTATGAACTAGTGATAGTAACAATATATGGTCATCTATGTTTATTGTCAATATGGTACAACCATATTGTGATTTTTTATTTGTTGATTCTAAATAAACTCTCTATAGTCTTGTTATTGAACTAATAATAACATTTTAGACAGAACGGATGAAAAAGTTTTCTGTGATAAGTAATATTTCAACAGTTATTCGGTTTTAACAGCTCAACAATTTGGAAAACACGTTGACAACAGTGGAACGTTTACTTTGATACCGTGATCAAGGTACTGGAACTGTAGGCGGCGAGAGACATGGAAAAACAATTTGACCAGTACTGAGTAACAAATGGCCACAATAAATCTATTGACAGAATTATAAACTGTCGTCGATAAAGTTGGTTGAGATACACGTTACTCACACTCAGTCACTACATACTACGGCGCACTTTGCCAACTAGAACAAGAATAATCTGTAAAGCCAATTGAAACCAAACTAACAAATCAAATCAATTAACAACAGTTCATGAATTTATTGACCGTTAGACAGAGTCATCACAGTAAATCCGTGCGATCGTTGTAATGAACGGTTGAAGATCTAAGGTGGTATGTTTCACACATAAACGATTATCTTCGATCAGTCACAGCCTCATTAACAAGATTATATTTCAGTGTATTTGTTTGCCAATGTGTAATTTTATTTTATCTCTTTTTATTTTTGTTCCATCTCAGCAATCTATCATCAATGGAAAAGAGATTAAACACTGAACTTAATCAAATATCGCAACTCATTGACACCTATTCATCATGAATCTAATGATTTTTTCAACTGATTCGTACAAAAGTTTTATTATCATTATTAACATCATCATCATGATTTACATACTTGTGTATTATCAAAATCATGTGCAATAATATTTCTTCTATTCAGTATAACATATTGGGAACAATGTTCTCTCTCCTCAATATTGTAGCAATGTACAGTTTCAGGATATTTAAACCAACAACATTATGAATACGGACTAGAAAGATGATTAATTTACTCTTGACATTGTTTCATATAAATGTATGTATTCACTTTAACTGGGTAATTTTATTAACAGCCACTATTGTATACAATTTTATGTTACAAGAGATTATTATGTTTCTGCTTGCTGTTCGATCTTTATTCGGTTAACTTTTGTGAATCTCCAGTAAAACAGCAAACAGAAATGTTTTCTTTGAGAAAAATAATCTAATCATCTGTATCGTATGTTAGTATTATTTTTTTAATTTATATCGTTTACCTCCCGTCTATAATAAACTATATATATAACTGTTAGTCCCCCTTCTTATCTACCTTCTCTTTGTTCTGATTTATCTTTTCAAGTTTCTTAATCCTTTTTATTAACCACACAGTATTCATTTGTATTGTTCAATGCGAATTTTCGAATAATACAAGAATTACAATAGTAAGCTGTGTTATTGCCTGCGATTAACTTTCATAGCATTTATATGAATTACGATTTATAACGTACATACGTTCGTTTATTTTCATGACAAAAAGTGACACGGTATATTTTTTTCTAAACAATGAAATGTAATTATGGTAGCTATAACAATATTTAAGAAACTTGACCAAATAATACAATATACACTTTCTGTAATTTGTATATAATTCTTTCAGTTATCAATAGTTTAAGATAAATTTTGTAACATGCAGCTAATACCGATACTCACTTTCTTCCTATACATAAGTTTAGCTGCTTGGTGATTAAAACTTTTTGCGATTTGACTTCTTTACCAATTACGTGCATCATTTTTGCGATTTCTGGTTGGCCCTCTGAATTAATAACTGGTGTTACACACGTCAAATGATGCTGTGGAAAATCTGAATATAAACTGAAACATTACAGAACAACAATAATGTCTTTGTCATCTAAATATATATATTCCATCTGATCTTGACTTCTTCGCACATCACACAACTATCTTTCATCCTAAATTCGAACAATTTGATAAAATCAGCTTCAATCTCTAACTGCCGATGTACGTATTAAGTGACCATAATGTCTGCAAGCTGAGCAAACCAGATTTATTGCCTAGTATGGTTATTGTGCTCTGTGGACAGTCTTTAAAGAACACTTAGTGATATATATATATATATATATATATATATATATATATATATATATCAAAACAACACGAAAAATCAATGCCCTAAATGTATGTATATTTATTATCACAGTAAATCCAATCTATTAGAAAAAAATTGGACTCAAAAAAAAAGAACGTAAAATTATTACAGATAAGAATAATTAATTTAAAATATACAAAAATAATATCAGATATTCACAAATAACAATAGTAGATTGTAATTAATTCAAAGAAATAAGTATAATACACACTACAATAAACCATTGATTTTATCAACTTCAATATGATCATTGCATGTACCGTTTACAGATACTTCTTCACCTAATGATAATGTTTTGACAACATTTGGCGTACTATTCACAATAGAATCTATTGTCTCTATTTCACTGCTTGTTGATGGAATAGGAGAAAAATTGTTATTTGAACTGTTGTTATTTAATACATCAGATTGTATGACTGGAAGTAAATTTGACCATTTTGTATAAATAGGTGCACATATTAATCGACATAAATTTGCTAAAAGTGGACGATGAAATGTTGTAGGATTATGACAAGTTGGAATTTGAATATCACTATCAATTTCATCAACAAATAAATAATTAATTAAATTTGCTAGAATACAATGAGTCAGTGATGTACAAAATGCACTAGCTAAACAATGAACATCATTTAACCAATTATTCGATTGTTGTTCTTTTAAATTATCATACATTTTTGTTATAGATTTTGCAGAAGTATGTAAACCATTGGATATAATGATAATAATTCTGAAATGATAAAACAAAAAATAACCATCAAATAGAAATTATTTCGTTGTGGTTTTATAATAATACTCTAAATTATGATGAACAATAAATAAAATTATACTCTAAAAATCTAAGATAATAAAGAAATAAAGTAGTAGCTTAGTTATAGGGCCTTACGATAATATATCTACCGATGATTTAGGATGATTAAACGCAAGATTTAGAATTTTCGATTTCAGTTAACTAAGGATGAGTGCAGTATGCATTCACGACTCCTGCACCTCGCAGGACTTGAACCCAGGACCTTCGGTCTTGCGCGCGAATGCCTAACCTCTGGGATGAAAGCAAAAAGAAAACTTCATCTAACGAGTCTCAGTGAATTTCAACTACAATAAAAACTTAAAATAGAGAGCTCATGAATTTTTCATGTACAATAGTATATTTCCCTATTGACAGGCTAGATATTAATTAGAATATGTTCATTGCACATACCTAATAAAATAATGAGAAACTAATTGTGGAGTGTATGCTAAGAACATTCCGTAAATAAACTTGAATCGCTGGACAAGTAGAACAGTGATATAACAGAATGAATATCGAGTTATTTGTGGGACTATCTTGTGAAAAATTATTGATTATTATTGTAATACTTAATTATAGATATCTGGATTATTGGATTCTAATATTCTCTTATTCGCACTATCCACTTTCATGCCAAGTTGGACACTAAAACCAAATAGCGTTCAGAAAGACAGTGACAACATTAGCGTAACTGTACCACCATATCCTAAATCATTTTATCATCACAGCAATACACAATCCACCAACTTTTCTTAATAGGATATCAAAATCATAAGATTCTTCAAGACTGAAGGCGATAGACTGGATTTCACGTATATTTACTTCACGATGTGATGGGTAAGGTCAGAAATGTTGTTAGAGTAAATGACGTATACATTATTAAGTTAAACATAGAATTCTCGCACCACGTAAATTTATGAATTTGTGTGGACTGCGATACTGCTCGAGTGCCCAAGCACGTGGTTTTCTTAGAAGGCAACTCTTAAACCTTTGACCTAGAGATCGATTCCACAACGCAGTGGAGTAGTGTCAAGAGATGCGATCTCATAGTAGCAGACGATCAGAAATACGTCCATAAACCATTTGTTCCCTCGGAATCCTTGAGCAGCATTGCTTTGGAATGAGGGTTTTTAAACTGACCGAACTGAATTCTTCGTACTGACGAACCCGGTTTAAGCGCCGGACAATTCTGGTAAGAAATCATGGCCAGTGCAGTTCAATTCGTGGATGGTGGGAGACATTTATCCGCCGCAGGCAATGGACGAGGGTTGTGAAACATCATAAATTGATTGAAGTTAGACATTAACACCATTGGGTGCCAACTCAGTGGTCTAGAGGTCAAGCGTTCGCACGCGGAACCAGAGTTCTTGGGTTTGGTTCGAGCGTGCAGGGGTCGGTGAGTGCGCACTGCTGAGGAGTCCTATCTAGGATGAAACGGCTTTCCAGTACTTCCAGGTTTCTAACGGAAGTCTAGTTCGTGAGTTCAACTATGAAAACCTAATCACATTTTTCTAATTATTTAAAAATTTACTTCGACTCCAATCCTATCATACTTTGTCATTTATATTCCTTTATATAGGAAAGCGCGACTGTCTGACCTTTGCGTTTATGTGTTGTGATTTTCAGAAAGATTCAAAATAATTATGGCTTACTTATTTTTCAAACCAGCAGGACAGCATATGTTTAATCCATGAAACAGTTCAATAAATCGGTTGTAAAGTAGTATTAGCGGAGGAAATTCTAGCAGTATATTAGTCATTTTTGTAAAGGGACTCAATGCATTATCATTTGCTTCTTCATGAGCTGATTCATTAATCTGGACATAATCATCAGATGGAATTCGCCAAATCCAGTTAGCAAGTGCAAATTCAAATTCCGATACAATATTGTCAATATAATTCTACAAAAGATAATGAGGAAAAAGGCAAAAACATGAAATTATTCTACCTTGACACATTATTTTACAGCACAGATTTATAGTCATTAATTAAAAGCTTAATCGTTCATCCTTCATACCGAATGGTCACTACCCGGTTGGCATTTTATTATTGTTGTTTGATTCTTAAATGTATTTGATGAAGCATATAAATATACAGGACTGATTAATTGGCTACATTTCGTCTTTACTTAAAGTTTCCTCTGGAAGTAACCTATTAGATCTTAATGCTCCACATTGTCTTTTCAATTTCACTCAAAGTGAGGAGACTTGTTTTTTTCTCTTCATCTTGTTTGAAAGGTAACTGGACAGTAGCAAGAGACTAGCTGAACGTTCTTTTATAGCAATCGACGTATTGTTCTAATCTCCTGGATCATGGTCTACTCTTTTTCCCATATATTGTCCTCAACAGCTGATTTTTAACGCTTGCCTTCTTAATGAATTGGAACAATTATCTAATGTAGCTTATCGCCGCTGTTTTTCCCATCTATCTCATTTACACTGCTCACCACTCCTCATGATCACTGCATAAATGTTTTGTTAGCGTTTTTACTGTTATCCAAGCCTCTTTGGATGATCTTTTCAGTAGCAATCAGTTCAGTAGATTTTTCCAGAATAAATTTGTATAACAATTGTTATTGATTAAGACATACTGTTTGTCAGTACAAACGACGTTTGTACAATCTAATGACAATATTGATTACCATTTAATAATACACTTGCTGCGTCACAAACTTTTATCCTCTCTCCCGCCGCCTATACATAATCAGGTTTCCAACATACCTGTACATATTTTTCAGCCAGTATGCTTAACAGTAATCTGACCAGTTACATATCCTCAGATCCCAGCATAACTAATTCCTAGCATCTAATAATTCCGTACCATATTTGTAGAATAATATCTAGACCTTTATAGTGCTAGACATTTAAAAAGCAACTTTCTTCATATTTATTATGTAATTAGCTCATTTAAGTGCATTCATTTGGAATAACATTATTAATAATTGTGTTTATATTTTTAGGTCCACCACAAACATGGACTAGTATTTCTCTAACTCCAATTCTTATCACTAGTGGCGTGTGTGGGAGAATTTGAAGATGGATTAGGTTTGAAAGTGGAAATAGAAACATTAGGAAGTGAGCACAAGATTTGACAGTAAAAAACGGTCTTAAGTGCTGTCAGATATGTGTGAGTAGTTTCTGATCGCCGATCGCCCACGCCATGCAGCATCACTTTTTCTTGAGAGCTCTGAACATCAAACTGAGATAAAGATGGTCTTTATGATCAGGCAGTTGTCAAAGAGCAACTACTTAAAATTGGTTAAACGGACTTATTGTGGATAGTTTATGACGTATAAGCTCTTGACTTTTAAGATTTTAACGACGGAGACAGAAGTCCATGGAGTAGGAGGAGTTTGACCTTTTACAATCCTTTCCCTCGTTGCAGAGAGGCAGTATCACTGATGATGATGATGATGGTTGTCAGAGAGAAACGTCCTTACTCCATCACAACTTCGCCACTAGAAAAAGTTATTTACTTTTATTCTTACGCCCTCCAAACGACTTGCCTGATATAACATAACTTAGCCAATATAAATCAAATGAGCTACCATGAAAAGCATGACAAACCACCACATCGAAGCAGCAGCTATGATTGGAAGCATGCGTAATACGCAGTCACCAATATAACGCCACATATATCGTATATCAAACTTGCCTGGTGTTAATATAGACTATACATAACCTGAGAAATATTTACACTTGGCCACGTTTTTACTAAGGATATCGGGAAAAAACAATTTTATGAGTGAAATTCGGTACATAATTCAAAATATGATAAGCTTAGTATCACCGCAACTAACCTTGATAAATGACTCAGTTTGATGACAAAAAAGGTTTGCCAAATGTGGTCTAAAATCACAGCCTATTCGATTAAGTGATCGTCCAAAATACATAGATTGTGAGATTAATGACTGCACCTGAGTGAATAACGCCTCTAAACAAATATTTCCGTGTGATTTATTTGCGTAGCTATCTGAGTCTGCGGAAGTAGCGCTTGACAAACGATTTATCAGTTCTTGTGGAGTACATTTAGGTTGATACATCATAGTTTGGAGATCGCTACAAAGGTTATTCAAAAAATCCGCCACTTGATCAACCAACCAAGCGTGCAATAAATTTGGGCTAGATTCAGAACCATTCAAATGTCTAGACCCCTTTAATAAATTAATTGAGTAAAATTGATTTCCTGAGTATTTGGATAGCAGTGACTTTCCCTGAATTTTAATTCCCTGTGAAAGAATACCATCATCATCTGGAAATACGGCTCTGAAAGAGAAAATATTACAAAGTGTACTTTGAATTACCATTTACCACCTATGAAAAAATACCAGTGCCACAACAACTCAATTTATGTAGTTCGAAAAAATCATATCATACACTTAAATGAGCAAACGAATAAGTGGATTTTAAGATAGGGTTTTAATTTTTATCAAACCTAAACTTTACAATACATATCCATTTAAGAGATTTTAGCAAATCATGTGAATATTAAGATTTCTTACAAGTTACATCCATCCTTTCATGAATGAAGCACATGTAACAACAAGACCAATGTTTTATTTCTGATAACCTTTGTTTAACAGTTCCTTTTAAACTATACTGACAATGGAGAACCACTTTTACTGAGTTGTATAGGTGAATTTCCGAAGTGTAGTAAGATAGAACGATGAATCCAAAGACAGTTAATGATAGATGAACGAAGCAATGACGATTAAGCTGTTGTAATAGACAAAAGTTAAGCCATATTGATCCTTTTGCGATCATCATTTACACGCTTAATTAATCATACTAATCTAAAAAGTTGCTTATACTCAAACTACCTTCAATGAATTTCTTCAAAATCAATGACAATTTCAGTTTTATAGTAAACCCAAATAAATAACGAGCAGTTTTTTCTGCTGAAGGAATTATCAGTTCAACTATTTCCAGAAAATGCAGCATCTAATTAATTAACTGCTTTTAGTTAGCAGGAATAACCATGGAGTTTGTTCATGTAAAAATGTTTAGTTTGAGAGGAGGAGTAACCGAAAACTACATCTATACATCAATTTAAAACTCATTCAACAGGTACAGTATTATAAATAGATCCAAATTAACTATATCACAAAAATATTATCCCAATGAAAATTGCGCATTTTTATTCTTACCGATACTGTGTGACTATATCAAATAACTGCACACGCGTCACTTCAATACGTCGTGTAGCCACCCAATAGGACCTATCATGAGACTGTTTAAAAGGGCGAAATCCTGACAGCTTTTCCCGCTTATCTACAGCAGCTAACTCGTTTGGGGTACATGCCAATAAAGATGAGCTGATTTGGCTCTTAAGGCAAGTTGTGCGCGTTTGAAGAAATTTTAGCCGCAGTTCTTGTTCACTTAACAGTCCTGTTCTACGAAGAAATACAACGGTCTACAATCAGAAATTAAACAATTTGTTAGTTATGAATCATAAGAAACTGAGACGTAAAGTATACTGAAAAGAATCTGTTCCTAAAAACTTGTTTATGCTACACACATGATTTAATTAACACCTGGGGTGTAAACGTTGACGACTTTATTACGCAAAACTTGAAATATTGCGAACCTTACACAGCAAAAACTTCTATCTGAAGTTTGTGTTGATGATGTTTTTCAGAAGAACAATGAAAGCTGCACAACCAAAAATTCCAGCTCAGAGAACCAAACACCACCACAATCATCTACCTGAGCTACAAATCTTCTCCACCATCTCGGAACCTTGCACAGCTTAACACGTAGATTGTATCATATAGAATGTACGAGTATAGTTGAAATTAGCTGCAAATTTATAAGCAGAAACTTGAATCAATGGATAATTGTAAAACCACACTGACTAACTTTACTAGTACATCTGTAAAGTATGAAAAGTAGCTATCCGGATAAAATTACACAACCAGTAAAGGTAAAAATAATGTAAGTAAGCTAAGAGGTTAGGTGTGCCGAGTAACATGCTGGGCTGAGAAAAGTAATGTCGAACAGACATATATGTGCCTCAGTCTCATAGGTCACAATCTACATCAGCACAAATGAATAGATGTAACAAATCTGAATATGAAGAGATGGAAACTAATAATAACAGTAAAGGAAACCTAAGTAAAATTAAATAACGAAATGAAATTTACGATGTCCCAGAAAGACGAGAAGTGAATGCATCTGAACTGCTGTGGCATTTTTGAACGTAAACTCAAGTTCCTAACTTCTAATAAAAAGGAAGTGGTCGACATACTCAGTTCACTCCCTATCATCAAGCCAGGCATTAACGTGGAGTAGTTATGGGGCAACATTTTGCATGTAGGAGATAAACGCATCTCGAACATACTAGCATTGTTACTTAAGGAGAAAAGAAGATTCTCCATTTTGTCAGCATCTTCGCCGAATAGAACTATTATCTATTCTAAGCTAACAAGTGGAACGTCTTGGCAGAAGATCGACTCCAAAAAACTTAGACGACGAAAATGGCGATACCTACCAACATGACTCAGTTCACTTGTTAGTGACTTCATGGATTTGTGGCATGTTTTGGTTAGGCCGTCCCTAGCTTTCTTCCAACCTACTCCTACGCTGAAAAACATCGCTCGTCGAGGCAGTCGGTAGTTAGGCATACGTAACACATATCCCAACCACCTCAACTGATGAAGTTTCAATACTTCACCAATCGATCTGCCATCCCTACCTAATACACGTTTCCTAACGATAGGGGTGTGACGGCATTAGTGTTCCTTTCATTCGACAAAAAACTGCAGCAATGCTATCTTCTCACAATGTTCAGGAAAAATTATCCTTCAACGGTGTGGGTAACCAGAAAATGACATTTGTCATCACACCTCGAACAGCGAACAAATAATAACTGCGGATCTAAACCTCAGAATCAACTGAGACCGAATACAAGACTACAAGTCAGTAAGGATCAGCTTTTTAGCATAATGACATGCTTAAATATAAAAACATTAGATTTGAAAACAAAGATGTAGTGATTGGAGGGTATGAGGTTTGAAGGTCACTCACCTGCCAGTGAACTAAGCTAGAATCTCACCCATCATATCGTGATACTATGCGACCACCTATATTTAAACAGATGAGACAACGGTGACTTAGAAGCTTGAATGATCCACTTTCAATTCATAGGTCTCATATTTGAAATCCACGAAACCTATTTTGGTTTGGACATGTAGGTAGAATCACTAATCTTAACACGAACCACTCGGCATAAAGTTGTGTACTCGTGTTCCGACTGAGTTACTTTATATATAAATAAAAAAACAGGGTCCGGATCTATGATATTTTAGGTGATATCGGGATTACTTAAATATCAACCAACCGTTCAATAAGTGGTCATAGTTGCATAGTCAACCTCCAGCATGAAACCCCACCGACCTACAGGAATCACCTTAGGCATATAATTTGAGTACTCTAAATCAATCATAATTCCCCTGATAGGAGATTAATCCCTGAGAAGTAAATTACACGTGTACAAAACAGCTGGACACTGGTTGATGTTTCCAAACTAGATGGAAGTTAGTTTTTTTGTGATTTGTGATAAAAACATGTATCCAAATAGTGAGTAGTAGTGATACGTTAATGCAGTTTTTTTCGCATTTCAAACTATCTTTAATTTATTCTCTTACTGTATATCAATTTACACAAAACACACTGAAGTAAATCGCTCCCACTTCACAGAATGCTGTTTATCTACCTAGGAACAGGTGATCTTTATCAAACTCATATCAAATGTAAGTAAATATAATATTCCATAATCCAGTTAAGAGTTTCTTGGCACAAAATACACTGAAAATATTTTACAAAATTTACAAAAATGCTTAAAAATGAGATAAAAGAACACATACCTTGATACATGAAGATAGGGATATAGGTGTTCTCAACTGGTTGTACAATTGATGAACAAACTGTGAAGCAACGGCAGACACTTGTGAATAGATCATACGTAAAACAGAGTACCTGGACCCATATTTATTGAATAACGTTTTAGTGTAAGCATAAATAGATATTGCATCATCGTAATGACCATTATGCACACATGTTTGCATTAACTGCGGGAGTTCAATTATTTCTAGTAACTTTGTGGTCAGTGATAATAAAAGCAACAAAAATGCTTACCTGTGTGTGATTTTCCAAGGCACTTTTATTCTTTATAAGAGAGGCTTCAATGGAGCGAGCCTTGAATAAGATGTCATTAGAACATTGTGTGAACTCGTTAATTTGCGATAGAAGTTCTTGGTTGGCGGTTGACATTTCGGAAGTCTTCTCCAAGATATTCTGACTTGCATCTTTGGTGGTTATAAAAATATGATAATTTTCTGCGGCTAATGATTTAATCTTGTTTTTTAGGATATCACGAAAGGATCGTAGCTGATTCACTGAGGAAGATAAGTTCTCGATATTAGAAGACGCTAACTCGTTGACAGCTTTTTCAAATAAGGGTCCATTTCTAATCTCTGGTGAGATGTCAAGCTTTGAAATTAGCTGTCTTATCCACTTAATAGGTAGTTCTTTATTATCGTTTGAGATATTTACAATACTTTTGTTGATTTCATCCATTTAGAAACTAATTATGAGTAGCCCAAGGACGTGCAGCCAGGGATTAATTACAGCCTATAAAATATGGAGTTTGGTAATAAAACAAGTTAAAATTCATCTTACAGTAGAACCATTGTGTAAGCGCTTCTCGGAGTTACAGACCACATATTGCAAGATAAAATGGTTGGCTGGGTATTTCGGGAGGACATATCTCAGATAACAATTGTCAAGTGACATAATTTACCGTCATTTCATGGAGTAGAGATATTCAACAACATTAAATTTTCAAGAACTACACAGGTTAAGCTCACAGATCAAGATGCACATGCTAATTATTTTTCTTGGATTAAGAAAATATCTTATCTAATCAAACGAGATATTTCGTGAGTCTTATTTGAAGCTGGGAACAACAATTTAGTAGATGAAGCTTTTTGATGTTGATCCAGTATAATCAATCAATTACATACCAACAAAAAATTAATCCGAATATTCAAACTGAGGACTTGTCATGAGGAAAAATAATCGTAAAAATGTATTGATATCCCATGAAGTGCTCACGCCGAATAATTTCCTGTAACGGAATTTCGACTTAATCAATATTGACTGATTTTTTGTAGGCCGTAATTGGAGGTTACACAATTCTAACAATCATACAACAATGTCATTACCTATGAAAAGCCATCACATGAAACAATAAGTCAGTTGAATCCAAAAGACATTCTGAGAATAGAACTTATAGTACATAATAGAGCAAAATATTCGGGAAGATGAGAATTGAATGACTCACAATCGACAAGGAATCTCAACTAATTTTTTGGACTCTATTCATAGTTAAATATATTCCGAAACTAACCTATCAGACCATATTAACTACTCTCAAGGCTACTGGCCTTAAGTGATATAAAAAAATGGTCAGTTATTGGGCGCTATTTATATAAAAAAGAATATTATGACAGGAAAATCTCGGTATAGGAAACATAAGCTGTAAAACTAAGCCTTTTGAGTGGAGTCTCAGGCTTCGAATTATGGGACGACATTAAGCAGCTTTGAATGTGTTTTAAGACACTTCCTTGAAAACGTTAGGTAAATGTATGGAAAAATGAGACAACAAAACCTGGATTTACCCAGATTTTAGTTTCCCTCCAATATTTTGACACACAATCCCTACAAGTAACACTTACTTCCATTCATAAGCTCGTTTTAAACGATGGTCAGTTGGTAGTAAATGTTAATAACTAGACAAATTTATCTATTAATTACCTTAAGACTTATCGTCTAATGTCTAGTAAGAACTTCCCGTACAATCACCATCTACGTTGGAATTATTCAGTTTTTTGGAAACCTACATATCTGAAAGCACTGTCATTCAGGGAATGAACAGAATATATTATTCAAAAGTATGTAAAACCATAACTGTCATATATATGTTGTCACGTTTGGATACAGACCATTCGGTCTTATTGATAGGACGAACAATAAAACTCTCAGTACTGGGCAGAACACTCCGAACACAAATTCAGGAAAGCCATTATATTATTACAAGTTATAGATTAATTTATGGCCACGATGTTTATTTCCATTTCTGCGGTAACATTCACATATTTTTTGCAATTCCACTGCAGCAGTGTGAATCGCAGGAAGTTTGAAATATGGTACTCACATAGTTACCGGAAAATAGACAGACTGCTTGGTGAAGGACATGTCGTTGAATGAGCTGACGACCGTACCGCTGCCCATCGAAACAGCGCGTACACTGTTCAATATCCAATATATTCTGCATCTTTTTCAAGAGATAGTGAAAACCAATTGATGTCTTTCCGCTCGATTCTGGTTTTTTCGGTACGCTTCCAGGTGTTTGGTAATATCCAATGGATGGATGTCTAGCCACTCGACTGTCTAATTCTAGTTAGTTGGCAGTTGGTTGTTTGTATGTCTCAGCATTTGAATGAAAACGTTTATTTCAGGTCAGTAGGGTTTCTGGATACCAACAGCTATCCCAATACCAGACCGGAGATCAGTCAGTTACAATGTGGAGAATAATAAGGATAATAAGGATAAAATTCTAATGCTAATATGAATAAAATTTCAGAACTAAGTAATACGTAGGTGGATTTAATTCATTAATTGGTAGTGAAGATTGCGAGAGAGGACCATAGTGTAAGCAAGGGATAGGAAACAGAGACTATAGCCTAGATAGATTAATTGAGTGATCTGAGGAGATGGAGACGATAACAACTAGCAGGTCTCAAGGTATCCATCAGGCACAGCTTGTCCAAGAGGGAGATGATAATCCGTATGTGAGTACGTGATTATCAAGTCTCTTCCTAAAGCTGTCCACTCAGGGGGCTAGGGCCACCGTGGCTGGGAGAGCATTCCAGGTTGCGACGACTCTCAATGAGAAAAAATGTGCACGAATCTGAGTACTCGCTCTTTGATGTGCAATCTTTCGAGGATTGCCTCGAGGGGAGTGGTGGTGATGCATCGGTAATATGCTCACGTTGGGATGGTTTGGCGTGTTTAATATGGTGTATGCCATAATCAAATCACCTCCGATTCTCCTGTAGCTCAGTGGAAATAATCCCAATAGCTGGGGTCTATCTTCGTAGGGTTTATTTTTCAACCCTATTACCCATTTGGTTGCTCGTCTCTGCACTCGATCCAAGAGATTTATGTATCTTTTAAGCAGAGGGGTTGTGAGGACGTTGTGAACCTCCAAGTGTGGGCGCGCGTACGTCTTAAACAGGGTTAAAAATAATTTCGGCGTGATAGCACCAAGCTGTCTTCACATAAAGTGAAGAGTCGCATTTGCCTTGGCTGCAACCCCTACATAGTTTGGACTGGTGTGGAGGCTTGCTGTGGTTTTTAAACCAAGATCGCGCTCTGAGGAGACATTAGGGAGCGGACTTCCAATGAGAGTTTAGGCCGTTTGCGTCATATGAGGCAGGAAATGCATGACGTGGCACTTCGGTTGGTTGAGTTTTAAACCGTTTTTCACTGCCTATTTCTCAATAGACTTAAGGTCCTTTTGAAGCTCAGTCGAATCCTCTTTGCTTCTAATGGACCTCCAGATCCTCACATCGTCTGAGTAGATCAATGCCAGTGAGCTAACTGACCCTAGCAGGTCGTTAATAAATATCAGGAAGAGGAGTGGGCCTAGGATGGTCCCCTGTGAAACTCTCGATGTGGATACTCGCCAACTCGCATGCACTCTGTTTACCTTTGTGCGAAACTTTCTATTGTCAAGGTAGTTTCTGAGCCAAGATAGGAGTGGGTCAGTGAAGCCCATTTCCACAACCTTTTCGATTAGGCGTGCGTGGGGCACTGTGTCAAAGGCTTTTGCAAAGTCGAGAAATATTACGTGCACCGGTATTTTACGGTCCAAGCAGGATGTTCAACTGTCCTATGCTATGAGAAGATTAGATGCACATGACCTGCCTTTCCGAAACCCGTGTTGATCTTCATGGAGTATTTTATTCTTATCCATGTACTCCCTCATTTGTTCGTCCACCAGCTCTTTCATTATCTTTGATAGTATTGATTGTAATGCTACTGGTCTGTAACCGGCTGGGTCCTTCCTGTCTCCTTCTTTGTAAATTGAAGAGAGAGCAGCTTATTTCCATTCAGATGGGAATTGGTGTGACTTCAGTGAATGCCTGAGCAGGTCACATATCGGTGAACAGAGGACTTCTGCACATTGTTTCAAGACTATGTGGCGAATTTTGTCACAACCTGATGACTTACCTGGGCGTTTCCTCAGTACTGATTCAGGAGTGATACAGATGTTCCCTAAGCCGTCAGCTGACAATGGGTTCGCGTAGTACTCTGAACATGCGGTAGCCTGGCTTAACTGCTCATTAAAGTTAGTGTTGAAGATCTCGGCCATCTCTAGGTTGGCGAGGTCTTCCACGTTCGGTCCTTTGAGAGAACACAACCCTTGATCAGTAGGTTTTCTTTTAGACATGAACCTAAACAGACGCTTCGGGTTTGCCTGTATTTTGGCAGCTAGCTTCACGGGGCATGTAGGGGGACCTCTCTCATACGCGTATAGTTTGCCCTACTTTAGCAGAGACAGGGCTCGTTTTCGTCTTGTGTGTGTTTCGTTTATGACCATGTTGTTACGGGAGAAACGAAGACATTTTGCTGATTAAAACCTTCATGTATAAATATCATTAATTTCACTGTTTTTGGGTACATTTGTTTTACTTAACTTGTGAACTTGTTTGAATTATTATTTGCGGACATATTGGACTCCCGTTTCTCTTTGTTGTTCGTTGCAGTTTTTTGCTCCAAGAGATAATAAATTAGAAGGTAATTGTAATTATTATAATTATTGTTGTTAGAACGACATTGGTCGTCTATTTGTAATAAAGTATTTTGGTCGAATTTGTGATTTGGAATAAACTTTGGTATCTACTTTGGAGTTTCGTTCTTGGTATAGAAATTTGGGACCGTGAATTACAAATAGACGACAACAGTGCTTCGTAAGATCAACGAGCAAAAAACTGGACGTAACAAAAGTTCTTCTAATTTAAATTCGTCATATATCGGATTTTTGGTCGTTTGGCTCCAGAGGTTCTTCAATTCAATTTTGGTCGCTGGAAACTTTTGGAAATTTGGGTCCAAAGGTTCTTCTAACTTTTAATTTGGTCGTTGGATACTTTGGACAATTCAATTTTGGTTCTTTGGTTATATTTTGGATACTTTTGGACATTTTGTTATTATTGGCGAATACGTTTGGAATAATTTCACATTTGCTTGGTAATCGATTTCTAACAAAATCATCCAATGGAAACTAGAAGCAAAAGGCTGAAGGAGCAGGACGAAATGGATGGTAAATTTTCTAAAGCTGTTTGTGGTATGTCTGATGTTAATGATGATAAACTTGATGATATTAGTGTTAATAGTAAGACTTCATCTCAGTTTAGTACTTCTAGATTTAAGTTAGATAAGGCATTAATTAAGAAGAAGAATTTGGAAAAGAGACTTGAGTTAGAAAAGCAGCTTAAAATGTTAGAGCTTCA